CTTTGTGAATGGCCCCTTTCTATTTCCAATAAAGGTCCATACAATTTCCATTCTATGACCTTCTGTGGATTTTTAAAATCTTTTCCAGTGATGTTTTTATCATTAACAATTTTAAAATCGTGATATGTCGTTTGTAATTGTATTTTATCCCATCTTGTATTTTCCCATCAGTTTATTCGAATCCTTTATAAACTAATCGCGATCGTACATGAATTGCAGGTGATCGATGTCGACTGAATGGTAAAGATCTTGTTCACCATGTAATCACCATCCTTAAAAGCCAGAATAAAGCATTTGTTACAGATTATCAAAACATTCTTTTGAAGTACGTCCTTACCTCCCGGATATATTGTTGTGAACTCACATCACAGATGTGGCGAGGTGAGTCACGCACAGTTTATAGACCATTTAGGTGATCTCAAGTCAGCAGAATTAACTTGCATGTGGTTAATTTTACCACAGTACTGGTTAACGTGATCATAATCCTGGCTATAATTTAACCAAGATTTCTGGTTAATAATCCACCTACACTGTAACATAATCTGGTTGATTCAACCATATAGCCTAGTTAAATGAACCAGGAATCTTGGTTAAATTAGCCAGCACTATGATCAAACCAGGATTGTAGTTAAATTAACGAGGAAATGCAGGAACACCCCAAACAGGGTTAACATGGATGATTCCAGTTATGGACGAAATTTTGATCTAGACAAGGAGAACGAAATCCATTACCATAGCTGGAAAGAGCAAATTAAAATGAGGAAAATTGCAAAGTTTGGTTGCGAACTGTTGTAAAATGAGGAAAATATAGCCTTGTGAAGTTCGCAAATTTTGTACATATTTGCATTACGCGCTGGGAAAATAACCATAAGTGATTATTTACAGGGCTATATTTTCCTCATTTTACAACATTTAGCAACCAATCTTCGCAGTTTTACTCATTCTAAGACGCGCTTTCTAGCTGTGGTGTTGGATTTCGTTCTTCTTGCCTTGCCTTCTTCTTGCCTAGAACAATAGTAAGTTTTTTAAAGTTGTGAATTAGCCTTTCTCACGATGACGAATATCCACCATTTTTGCGTGGCATCTAATTCTCGTTAACCAATGCAGACAACTAAAACAATGTGAAGAGCAATTTTTCAAAATAAACTAACCATTTACAAAGCAAATTTACCATCATTTGTCAGAAAAAATATAAAAAGTCGCTGTTATGTGGACTTATTTCGCAGACTTCGGCTGAAATGCCACCCAAAAATGGCGGCGTGAGAAAGGCTAATTGGTCAGCAACCATGTAAACAACGTTGGCCAAATTTGTTTATATACTGATCACTTCTTTTTAGAACTTATCAACATTACTTGTGGAATTCTAAACTCTCCCACTGGTGAACGTTCATTATCAGCCAAGACTTTCTTCCACATCATCACAGCCGCTGTCACTCAAGTCGATTTAAAGTCCACTCCACTTTTTAAGTTTTTTACAAATATTTTTTCTGATATCAGGTACGTGTATGATAAAATATCCCTGAACAACCCTATGTCCAGTTTAGCATGCAGGTATTCACACACTTACTGCAGCTAGAATCAACTTTGCGTATAAATCAAGTTATCCGAATACTACTACAACACCAAAGTGCTTTTTGTGTTAGCAAAACACCAAATACACTGATCAGACGTATTGACACCCAATAAGTGTTATAGGTGTTTCAATACACGTATTGGGTGACATACTCAATAATGTATGCAGAGCTGCATTGATTAATGACAATAAATGGCTCAGGAAACAACAGGATTTCTTAGCTTATGTGTAATGTTTCGTTGCCTCAGGAAATGCACCTTGTTTACCGCCCGATCTTGTGCGTGAGGATACGCGATTCACGCGAGGTTTGTAAATTGAAAGTCTTGCGCGGAAAAGCAAAACCTTTCGTGGTGAGTGCTGTAAAATCTCACGTATGCAATTTCTAATCGCTTTTGTCTTGAAGACGACGTCTTCATTGACGTTGCGATTGTATTTGCCAAACTGACTAGCAACAGGCTTCTAGCCAGGGTGTCAAAAGTGGCCGTCCGAAAAATACTGTGGGTGTGACAACCTATTTTCACAAACATGGTAAAAAAACATGGAGCTTGAAATCAGTGGTGATATACTCATAATTCAGCGTATTTTCTTGTAGAATAGATAAACAACGTACAGCTGATAACCTTTTAGGTTTTAAAAAAACATTTTCTTAGGTCGTCCATGACCGTCTATTAAAAAGTGGCCGTCTTATTTTAAAAGTGGCCATCCATAGGACGGTTGGACGACCGCCTGGCTAAATGCCTGACTAGCAACCCCGTTCCCAGGGTCGCTCCCTGGGACCGAGATGACTGACTAGTAGGTAGAGGAGACTTAGGGGAGGGTGATTAATACGTAGAAGGGACTTAAGATAGGGTGACTAGTAAGTAGAGGGGACATAAGGGAGGGTGAAAGGTACTGTAGAGGGGACTTAGGGGTAGGGTGTTGTAGAGTGAATATTCAACTCTTACGTGATGTGCTTGAAAACTCGCGTAAGTAGAGTTGTGATTGGTTCCTTCCTAGCCTCCTCCGCAGTCTCTCGTGGTTTACCCGCAACCAAATTCCGCCCGCCTATCTAAAGGCGATGCCTGCGGAGGAGGCTAGTTTTTTTCTGTGCTTTGAGGGTCTTTCTCCGGGTACTCCGATTTTTCTTCCTCACATCAGTGCTGCGTGATCAGACATGGTGGCAGCCAGAGTCTAGTAAACCTTTTGACGCCGGATCACGTTTTAGTTGCGTCCTTCACAATTCAGCACTCAGCTACAAGGAAAGATGGTAGCCATCCTTTCCATATCTAACTGAGCTCTTACTCATTACACGAATAGTCTGTGGTGTGAAAATGCACGATATATGAAAGTGAACATATATATTACGAAATTCTTCTTTAACCGATTTAGAAAGGAAACAAATACACAGGTTTTGGAATATCTCCTCAGTTCTTTACTCACATTTTGTAAAAGTGTTGCGATTGATTGTCGTGGACAGCTCTGTCAACTTGGTGAAGATCTGGTACCTGCGCTGTTACAGATATGGAATAAACGTCATCCAGTTATCAAGGTGCTCATTTTGAGCTAGCATTACACTTGCTCCAAGTCTCGTTCGAATTGTCTTCATTTTTAATAGAGTCCACTGTAGTCCATTATGAGACTGAAATAAAACTGATCTCATAACAGGCTGGATAAACCCAATTGACAATGAAACTGATCTCATAACAGACTGGATTTACCCTAAGAAGCCAGTTTGAGAGAGAAATGGAGCAAGTCTAATCTAGTCTCTATTAAAACAGCTGTAGCTGAAAGACATTCTACCACGGTTAATGACGTCAAACGCGGAAAAACACTCAATGCAACGTCCCCCAATGACGTTAAATGAAATTTGGTTGGCTTAGCAACGATTTGTATTGCGAATTGTCGCCAAAAATTATCCTGTGGGATATCACATAAAATCTGCGTGTGACGTCATTTTGAAAAAGGTTTATTGGATACTTTTGGATGCGGATACTACGATTGTGTTTTTGCGAGGTATATTTCTATTAAACCGTTTTGACTGATGATGTAAAATATTTTCTTTAGGAGTGTTTAGTTGGGTTTATGCGACTCCAGATGAGTGTACATCACCCTAGTGGCGTGCATTTAGAGAAAGATGGTGCATGGAGTACCAATACAGTACACTGGAAGGTAACCTGGCTGTCATAACCTTGCTTTATATACCATAATACAGTACACTGGAAGGTAACCTGGCTGTCATAACCTTGCTTTATACAGTATACCATAATGCAGGGCTTACAATAGAAGCCAGTTACCCGCGGTAAATCGCCGACCACCGGCTGTAATTCAGTTGAGATGTATGGCATGCATTCAGTTGAGATGTATGGCATGCTTCCAGCAGAATACACTGTATTCACTCTTTACCTGTGCTTGCACAACCGCATAGTGAAAACTTGCCACTTTTAAAATTTCGCTTCAACGCTCTGCTTCATCTTCAAGATGCCCGAAATTTAGAATTTAAACTGACTTTACTAAACATGCTGTAATGGCGGCTGAAAACGCCATTTTAGAAGGTGTATACTTTTCTTACACAGCTACGTACCGTAATTTTTAATGAATACCCTGCAATGAAGAAGGAAGAAATTCGTTACTGGGAGAATTGTGTCTTAGAGTTTTGACGTTATAGAGAGGATTGACGCGCACTCAATGAATGGCTTTGATAAATTAAAATTCTAAATTCATTTTAGAAATGTCTGCAAAAGCTGTACGAGTCGATATTATCAGCAGAAATCCAACAAACTATACGAATTAGGGGACAAAGGTACGTTTTGATGTAAATGAACAATGAAGTACAGCTCGGTATATTGTACATGTAGTACAGTATAAATGTTATGTTTGTGATGTTACTCTGAGTGTATCGGACAAGCTGAAAAGTTTGCCTGACCACGGTGGGAATCGAACTCGCGACCTTTGGGATACTAGTCCAATGATACCATGCAACTAGCTACTGTACACTCAGAGTACACTCAGAGTAACAACACAAACATCATATTTACCAGTGAGTAACACCGACACACACAAAAAAGTAGTATAAATGTTTATATAAGTTGAATGGTATAAGCATATTTTGATGAGTTGAAAGATGGAACATACCAAATGAACATACCATTGTTTTGTACAGGACCAAAATAAATTAGTGTTATTGAGAATGATAAATACACACACAAATAGCAATCCGTGGAACCGTGCAATGAAACGAAAACGTATAGTGCGAAAATCCACGGCTGGGCCATCCAGTGGAACTTGAAAGAGTTATTTCTATTCATTGACAATATCACGCGATCATAACCAGCCAGTTAAATATAGTATGGTATATGTCGTATATTCCTTCCAGTACTGCACTTCAATTCATATTTTATGAGTTGATTCAAGATGTATACCAAGGGACAATTTAATTTATTTAATTTACTAACTTCGCCAGAAATAAGAAACAAGTACAACATTACAATAATATGGTATAGGAATAAAAAAAGGATTGGAAGACAAGTTGAGGAAAAACAAAAAAGGGAAAGTATATAGCAACGATAGTCAACTACAGGAACAATCAATTATTTCTTTATAGTTTCTGAAAATCGATAATTCAATTTGAATTATTCTAAACTTCATGTCAAATTTATCACCATTGCTGAAGTACACGCGACATTTTTAGCAGACACAAAATATGTTATAAACTTAAATTTCTTTATTAATTTATTTTAGTGCAAAGCTTGAGTCAGGTTTAAAAGCCGCAGTGATAGAACTTTGTGCAGATATCTGTCATCAGGTACAACATCAGCCAATACAATCAATGACAATTAAATCTCACCGTAATATATCCCCCATAAAAATAAGTTCAAACCATATAAATAAGCTATCTATTCATGTGAATGACGATATTAAACGTTCAGTGTTCAAACTTGGATAGTTAGACTCCGTCTTTAAAAAAATAGTTCGATTGACAGGCTTCTTTTTCGGCAACAAGTCGTATACTGTATAAAGGCTTTCCTGGCTTGTTTTTGAAGGAATGCGCGTAATACTAATAGGACCAAGTTCTGTTATATAATCTGTTGTTATCCTGTGTGGTTTTTATCTTCCGAAGCTTTTCTGGTTCCACTCTGAAACTTCGTTGATGGCAGTGGATTCAAATAAATTTGAAGGTAAGTTTGTAAATCTACGTGCTTTACCTTAATCCATTTCTTATGTAATGTAACATGCATGGTTGTTGACATGCAGGAAGTAGTTTTAATAATAGTTCAGAAAAATATACGACTGGTTTAGTCTCTGTTATCATGATGCATACTATAACTATATTTTTGAAATTATCCAACTACTGTACATCAATGTTCTTGATTGGTTTCCAGGCCCTAGTTCTTCCAAACGACGTAAGATCGATGTCGGATGGAATGTTTTGAGGGACACTTTAACCAATAGTCAAGAGACACCAGCCTTGTTGGGATGGTATGTATAAGTATATTTATTGTATAGTAGAGAGTGAGATACTGAAAAACACACAGTGAGATATTTTCACTAGTGAAGATATCGATCATGTGACTTTTTCCAATTTGCTTTTGAGCGTGAAATTTCACAATTTTCTGCTCGGGACTATATAATAAACAGAACATCACACGGTGGCTTGAAGATATGACTTTTATCTTCTCGTGTTAGAAACAACATTTTACTCACTCGCTGCGCTTGTTCGTAAAATTTTGTTTTCACCACTCGAAGATAAAAGTCATATCTTCGCGCCGCCGTGTAATATCCTCTATATATACCGCGCATAAAAACGTTACCTGGAAATTTTTTTCAAAATCCTTTCCATGGAAATAGTATGGATCTTCGTTGAAATAGTAGGGGAATCCAATTTTCATACTAATTACAATTTCCATGTTATGGATATAGTATGGAAATAGGATGGATATACTATGGATTTAGCGCGATGCAATTGCAAATTCCATAGTATGAATTTCACTTTTTTTTTTAATCTAGATACTTTTTCTTGCGTATTTCTTGCTAATCAAGATTATACTGAAAACCGCTTTTGCGATGTAGGTTTCCTGGGTAAATACTGTTATAATAATAATAATCTTTGTTAAACTGTTATAACACGTATTACCTGGCAGAAAAATAAGAATTGTATGTACATTATTCCACAATGTCGAACGGTTTGTGCCAGTGCAGATATAGTGGCGATATGGAGAATGACGGATTGAAAGAGATTACAACTTCCTGAAAAATGCAAGCGACGTTTCGGGCGAAGGCCTTTCGTCGTTTAATAAACGAGAAATGATGTTAATATACACACTATTCTATTCAATTCACAAACTGTACCTGATGGATATTTATTAATGTTGTTATAACGAAAATAAAAATGACAAAAACAACTGAATGAATTCTTTCATGTCCAAGAACTCTCAAAATAAATCATCTATCATTAGACTACCTATAAATGAGCGAGTGCCAGACATCTCAAACTTGTGATGAGCGAGTGCCAAGCATTGAATGATCGCAATTGATTGAGTGCCAGGCATTGAATGAGCGCAATTGATTGAGTGCCAGGCATTGAATGATCGAGTGCCAGGCATCTCAAACTTGATCACAAGGAAAGGTTTAACCGCAGGTTCGATTCCCGCCAGGGACCTGCATATGTTGTTGCATTTCTCGCAGCTGTTTCTGGTTGGGTCTAATCAATGTATTTCAAACATTTATTAATAATTCATAAGCTTATTGGCAAATCATGTCCACCATGAAATGTCACGTGAAGAGGCGCTTTATACCTGACAAAACTCATCTTCATTAGTATTCTTTATATAAAAGTCCATCCTAATTAGTATGCTTTATATAAAGAATACTAATGAGACGGCATCTATTATAGTCGTGTTTGATAAAACACTCCTAGGCGCAGGCGTGTTTTAAATAGCACATAAATTTCCACTCGATAATTTCCATCTATAAGACACTTCAACTATTAACCATGCAGTCCTAGAACATACCCTACAGTGGAATGACACATTAATTTATAAAATATTCTTGACAGGTTGCAAATAACGGCAAAACTGTTATCAAAGTATCCCAGTGATCTTCCGACCAAAGAATATGTTCCCCTGCTTACGTCACTACATCAACTACAGATTGAATGCAAAAGGTATGATGACGCACTTTGCGGTTTGCACATTGTGCAGTTTGCACTACAAGCGTACCGTACCGAAGCGTATCAAAAACATTTTTAAATTTCAAAATTTAGTGAATGTTGATTGGCTAATACTTCCGTAGTACGCCAAAAAGTTAACTTGTGACGTACTTTCTATTTTGATACGCGAATACACCCGGGAGTACGTGGATTTATCAACCTTTTTTCAATCTACGCATGCTCACCAGTACGTTTCGGTACGGTTGAGGTGGAAAAGTGGCTTAAGTGTTGTGTTTATTGTTAGTTGCTAGCATTGTCGCAGTTAGACAACAGTTGCATTTTTTATTTTATTGAGCTGGTAACAAGTAGCCATGGATAGTTGTGACTAAGTTTAGCTTATGGCGCAATATTAGCAGTAAAATTCCTAAACCCAGGCAGGAATTACACCCTTCACATCTTCTGCATGCATACCTGGCATACTAACCTGCACGTTTAGGCTGATATTTCAAATACCTGCACCGGCGTAATAGTAGTATAGCTCAAAAGGTGAAGTGTTGACATTTTGCGTACTTGTAATTCAAGCACATTGCTGCTTGTGTTAACTGTGTACCCGGCATGAGCGAAAAATCTTACTGGATGCAGAAACACCTCAAGCAAAGAAACAAAAAAACAACTATGAAAGAGATGTAATTGGGAATGGCAATTATTAGCCATTTCATATAGCCGCTTTGATCATTGTTTGTGAAATGCAGCTTTAACCAAAGTTGTCTGTATTACTGTAATGTAATTGCGTTCAGGAAATGAATAGATCAATTTATCTGAAACTTTTCGTAGGCAGGAAGTTATCTCTACTGTCATGATCTGTTTGAAGCATCTTGCTGCCTGTCATGTTGAGTTATCTGAAGCTAGTGTCGAAGGAATATCTTCTAAGACAACTTGGAGGAATGTCTGGTTGGCTGCTTTAAGAACCTGCAGTTCACATGGCTTACAAGATGCTAGTTTTCAACTCTTGGAATGCATTGTAAAGGTATTGTAACATTTTTGCAACCAATCGCCTCATTTCCTTGTTCAACCAATGACCTCATTTCACGGTTTATGGTTCGTAGTAGGATGGAAATTATAGAGAGTATATCCTTCAAAACGAATTATCCGGACCAGCAGCAATTTTGGGCATAATTGGTTGAAACCGCCACAGTTCCTACCGCATATATAAGTGCATGATATTTCACTCGCCTTAACTCGTTATTTTTTCTTTCCTAAAGGAAAAACTTGCTGATGCTGATACAGAACCCTGGAAATTGTTGACAGATGTTGGTAGCAATAGTTCAGAGTGAGTGTGTTAGGGCTTTGTGGAAGATATTCTGAAGAATGCCTCTGGAAGAAAAGTATTAAGCTTTCTCACACAGTTTATCATCTATCATTAAAAGGCTTGCAGAAATTATTGGGGGGGGGGGGGGGAGGCGGGCGTTTTTTTCACTCCTGGGGCCGGTTGTTCGAAAGGCGGTTAACTTAATCCAGGGTTAACGGAAACTTCAAGCGAACTTCCCAACGGCTTACTCATAAACTTGGAAATGTTTTTCCCGAAATTTTCAGTCTGGATCAATAGAGGTCTCATTGTCTGAAGTTTTGAAACTAACAGACATATACTGCAGAAACACACAAACCCAAAGAGCGGGTTAAATTTTAACCCAGGGTTAACGCTAATTGTGCTTTGACCAACCAACTCCTGCTCAGAGGCGTAGCCAGGATGTTTGGTCAGGGGGCCAGCAAAAACCTAAGTGGGACCAGGCTTTCACTTATTTATACAGAATAAATTTTCTCAGGGGGGGGGGGCAAAATTTTGCCCTGGCTACGCCTCTGCTCCTGCTTCCCCCTAATGTCCGCCACTGTCTATTTGTCTGTGATGATTTGAATGATTAACTCAAACGTGACTATTCTCACTGTAGTGGAGTAATTGCTTGGCTTAACCAGTGTGTGAACATTCGGAATAGCCTTACGTGATTTCCTAAGCTGAAGTTCAGCTTTTGAACGTAAAGATTTGTTTTCTCACCGAGATTGCCATATTTGATTTTTTAGATTTTCCTTGCAGTTAGTGTGGCGATATTTGACAACATTACCTCTACCAGAACATTTTAAAGTTTTTCAGAATGAACATTCTCACTACCCGTTGCGTCATCAGCTATTTGATTGGTTGTTACCTCCTGTCAGTAAAATTGAACAACAAGGATATAATGTTTGTATTTCTTACTCCAAGATATTTTCAAGGTAAGGAACAGCTTTGTTTCATTCTATTTAGACGTGTGTTGATGAGTTTTGAAGCTCACGAAAAGTCGTAAGGTTTGCCTGCTTGGAATTAATCATGGTTCCGTGTAACCAGATGGAACCATAAAAGTATTCGTATGGTGCAAACACGGTCTTAGTTATCTAGTCTTCCCTAGCATAATTTTTATGTGTCCCTCTGAACTTGCATTAAGAATGGTCTAAAGAACTGTACACAAACTGAACTGCCTTTCCAATTTCTATTCAATCCACACCAGAGCAATGTCAGTAATCTTTGCCTTAATTTATCATTAAATAGATTACCAATGGACCTACTTTCTCGTGTTCTTGTCGTCCTAACACAACGAGTTTGTTATACCACCAACAAGTGTGTTCATACTTTGGATTCAAAGAGGTATGCTTATAATAAATATATTTAGCCAATTAACGGGTCCAACAGCTAAAACTAAAATATTTAAATACTAAATTGAATATCTTACTATAGGAGAACGAGCGAGCAGTTTGAGAAGGATTTAGAAGAAATGGAAAACATTTATATTCTTTCTTCATTTGATAAGGTGACACTTTATTGTATTTTAATTAAACGATCCGATCAGAATCATGCATTGCGCGCTTGTGTTCTTAGTTGCGTCTTAAGGAGAACGAGCTGAATATGTGTTTCATTACGTTTCCATTGCTATGGTGTGCTTAGTAGGATGCTATCTTTGTTAATTGTTTTTCTTTGCTGTACAAATCAATACATACTAAATTTATCTTTCCTGCAGTGCTGAAAAATATCCTTAAGCTACCGGGAAATTGTTAATAAAATATCTTCTTGCGTCTTGCACGAAATATTTGTCATTTTACGCATTGGAATGCCACCTAATTTGCTTGTTGATTAAAATTCTAAATCCATTTTGAAAAATGAAATTGTCATGTTTGGAAATAACACATCATACGTCATCGCACATCCTCTCAAAGTTACCTATATATGTATAGGACGTTTTACATTTGATGTAAACAGGAAAATTTTAATTGAAGAAATTCCACGAAGAAAATCTTTTTCTATAGGTATGCTTTCGCGCTTTTTATCTGCTCAGGTGTTCTAAAATCTAAAAGCCTGGTGCAAGTATGTTCAGAGATGTTTAAAAATGTTGCAAAGTATAACTTTTCCTGTGCTTATAAGATTCTTGTCGGCCCATAAAATAGCCCCTGTCACTCATCCTCGCGCAAATACGTACGAATTCCTGCATAAAAATATTTCATGATTGCCAATCAAAGAACATGCGATGCATTACAACAAGATACGGAAGTAAAAAACAAGCAACAATTATCTGTCGTTTTTTGAGAGACATTCTTGTGAAGAACATTAAGCTTGCTGCCGTACATTGTTAATCCAGCACTGCAGCGGCCTAAGAGTTGAAAATTTGTAAATTATTTAGAGGGCAGAAACTAATTTGGTGGATGCTGTCACGTTGGATGAAATGGAAAGGTAAGGTTTGCAAATTTCTAAAGTTTTCTTGAACTATATGCATACCTTATCAGGTGCATTTTACATGTTTACTCCTCTATGGTACTGCATGTATTTAGCATTCTGTATTTTTTCCGCTATGTATCTTATACAGCTGCATGCATTAATACACCCTGTCGGAAAGTATGTACCTCACTCAGGGGTGGAAAAAATATTTTACTTTCTGGGACCACAAGAGAACATTGAAACATTTTCTACAAATAAGCAAGTAAATGGACACTTGCATGGAGGGAGGGATGGCGGGAGAGGGATGGCACTACTAGCGGATCTGGGGGCATGGCTATAGAGTCTCGCTTTCGTGTATGTGACATTAGTTAAAGCCCAACGTCTCAATGAGATGACGTACTTTCTGGAAGCGTGTATTAGAAACTGCTGTCTTGAACTAAAGATATTTTTCATTATTTTTTTCCTGTTGTATTCAAGATCTTCTTCATATCCACTTGTATTACGTACCATGCCATAATTGTTCATTTCTTCACCATAGTTTGTCTGGGGACAACAATACTGTAGCCGAGTTGTTGAGTTATTTGGTCCAAAGAATGATTGAAATTTCTCAGAAACTACTAGAAACATCTGATACGGAGGTTTGTTGTCATCATTCAATGACTTAAATTTTTGATTGTGTGTTACTTAGTAAATACACATCTGAACTGGAAGTTTAATTTTATTTCAAGTTTAATTCTACGACATTTGTGGACTTATATATACAATAAGTGTGACTACATTTAACATGTATTAAACTTCAGTTTATTATAACACTTTTTAAGTTTTAATTATAGTTATTGCATTTTTTCATACAAAAGCAAAAAACACAGCAGCATTATCAATTAAGAACTAAAACCTATTATTTAATATTAATTATTATTGTAATAAAAATAAAAAATCCCACTGAAAAAATAAAAAAAATGCTATCATCGTAAGAAAAACGTTCGTGGTCAGCGTTTCGGATTGCAGACTGTTGAAGAGACGACAATATATCTCATGCGAGAATACTATTGCGGCCTTTCATGTCGTATGACTCGTATCAACTAAACAAGAGTTTTCTTCGCGTGTTTTATATTACTTTTATTTGTCTTTTACCGCGTACAGGTATGTATGTCTTTCAGACAATGATCAAATATATTTCTTGCCGATCAAGATGAACGGCAACCTTCCTTCTTTGCCGATCAGAAACAATTTCCGCCATTATTTGGATCCCTGGAAATCATATAGCTTTAGCATCATGCATATAGTGTAAGATTCAGTAATTCTATCATACATATTACAATACATATTCACTTGATTTTCTAGTGCAGTACAATATCTTCGCCACAAGGTTCGATACGGTGTGCTGACAAGAGATGCGAGGTCCTTGCCAGGTTTGGAAGTTTGTCTACGAAGGTGTTGGGACTGTTGTTGTTCTTGAACGCTTGGAACTTCAAAGATCTCACAGATTCCCCACTTTATCTTGTGACAATGGTAATGAAACACTGATAGTGTGTAGTTTTTTTATATGAAATATTGTAGATTGCCGAAAGGAACGGCCTATGAGCCCTTATGGGCTGTTACATTTCTGGCGGGAGTACATTTTATGGATAAAGTAAATTAACATTGACACATGTGTATTGCCCAAGTGTAATCATATTTTATATTTTGTAATTTAAGTGAATAACGCGAGATAAAGAGAGAGCAATGTTTCTTAGTTCGTATTTAACATGTTTCATTCGACTCTTTTCTTTCAGCGAGTTTTAAAAGCTGTTTCAAGTGGAATGGCGGAATCATTACATCACAAAGATGAAGCGGGTAAAGCAATTGCAGGACAGTCATTTACTGCGACGTTGAGTGATTTATTTTTATGTGGCTTCTTCGCAACGGTAAGTCGACGCATGCGTAGTAATACATCAAACGGTACTAATAAACGTGCTACACCCGGTGTGTTCATCACGGCCGACATGATCTTGAAGAGTGGAAATAAAATACAATTTCAAAATCTGCATTATTTTCCACTTTAGTTGCTGAATAATTGATTGAATGATTTCATGAAATTCGGCGACTACCAAAAATACAACATGTAGAACCAGGGAATACGCCACAGGTTACCCCAATTACCCCGACCCTTTAATACGTAATTACTTTAGCATCAATCTAAACAGTATAACAAACTTACAAAATGACATCAAAATGACATCATGATTTGGTTAAATTTCTGTGTCTAATCCAAATATTTTAGTTCCTTAATTTTTTATAATAATTTCGCCCTCCATGACGGCCATGTAAACAGCGTGATGATCAGGCCAAGTGTAAGGATGTTTGTTTTATCATTTAGAACTTTGCAGATCGTCACACGATATTGTTAAAGCCAATTATGAAGGTATTGAGATCTCTGACGTCAAAGGAACTTGTTGAATATATGATGCAAATCATTACTAAAGAGGTAAAATAAAGTGAATAAACTAATCCATATTGATAGTGTATTAAGTTGTAAAAAAGCTCTGAATGGATCTAGGGATACAACTACCTGAGAAATACAAGGAAAACTTCGAAGGCCCTTCGTCGTACAAATTACAAATTAGATACAAAGAAAAAATACACAAACCAGAAATCGAAGTCTTCTTTCAGACTAGTGTAACTTTGAGTGTTCTTGAATAACGGGAGTGAACGTTAATCAATCAAAATGGATTGTTATAAATGTTTACTACTATTTAAGTGCAAAACGAGTAGTTAAAACAGTATTTGATGGGTATTGTAGGTGGAAATTGTCGAGTGGAAATTTATATACATTTATTAGACCTAACCATGCAGGAACAGAAGCGAAAAATGCAAATTTAGGTCCCTGGCAGGAATAGCATTCTAACCAACTGAGCTACAGAGGACAGTTGTCGAGCTCTAACCACAAGTTCATGTACTGTTTAATAAACGAGCAGGAGTGTTTTATTAGGTCTAAAGCCACTCGCGCTGCGCGCTCGTGACTTTAAACCTAATAAAACACGACCTGCGAGTTTATTAAACGGCTTCAAACACGACTACAAATTCAATAGATACACTGCCTTACTAGTATTCTTTATATAAAGAATACTAATGAGGACACTACAACAATAGATACTGCCTTATTAGTATTCTTTATATAAAGAATACAAATTAGGAGTGTTTTATCAGGTTTAAAGCCACTGCACGTGACATATTATGGTTGACATGATTTGCCAATAAGCTTATGAATTATTAATGAGTGTTTGAAGTACTATTTAAAAAACGAGCAGGAGTGTTTTATTAGGTTTAAAGCCACGAGCGCGCAGCGCGAGTGGCTTTAGACCCAATAAAACACGACCCGCGAGTTTTTTAAATGACTTCAAAAACGTATGCATAATAAGTCAAATCTTTATATAAAAACCTTTATACATATAAATCTTTATATAAAAATCTTTATATAGTTTGCATAACAATGGTCTTTTGTTAAAGTGTTCTTTAGCTGGTATAAAGACGTATGCACGTGACTAATTTCTTACTCTAGATTGGATAATTGCTTCATGAATTATTAATGAGTGTTTGAAATATATATATTGTACTAGGGTACTGCCATGTGTAGGTTATGGGTAAATATCAAGATTTTTGTGGCATCTCACTCGAATGAATGATATTTGATGGGTATTGTAGATGAAAATTGTCGAGTGGAAATTTTACATTTAACTTTAGGTCCCTGGCAGGGCCGCAGGATCAATTTCTGCGAGGGACCTAGGTCGGGTTCGACGCCTACCGCGATCAAGCCAATTTTGTGAGCTTGCTTAGTGTGGCGCCACTTGGAGAAGTGTCATCTAAGGGGCGGACTAGTAGAAAAGTGATGGGTGGTGTGGCGAGGGGGGGGGGGAGGATTTTCAGCTTCCACGAATTGTTTTCAGCCTTCTACTTGTGCTAGAATTTTTTTGCGGAATTTTAAAGATATTTTTCTTTGCTGTCCTCTTTTTCGAATCCCCCCTCTTTTTTCCTTTGCGTGACCCCCCCCCATGACTTTTCTTTTTGTCCGCCCATAGTGTCATTTTAAAAAGTAATTAAGAATTTATACAACCCTTTAATATTTTCATATTTATTTACCAGCCCAGGCAACTTAACAAGACTCGTATGGTTGTTGATGAATTTGACGGGACATTTATTGATAGCGATGAAGTTATGGATGATTTTGAAACAAATGACAATCTCCCAAGTTCCATGTCAGATCAAAAGATCAACTCTGGTATACATGTTTGAAAGCATAGACGGATTTTCATATTTATTACTAGGGTGGTGCCAGAAATTTTAGGGGGGTGAGCCGTGAGCAGGTGACTGAAGCAACACAAAGTGTCACAAAACCCCAGTAAGGTCTATATTCTAGAGGTGGAGCACTAGAGCCACGAGGGGGAGTCTAGAGAGCAGAGAACAAAGTATGCCAGGAAAAATTTGAAAAAAATCATGATTTCTAGCTTCGAAAAAGTTTTTTGAAGTTGTCAATTTGTCATATCAATGGTTTGGCATGTCCGATTGTCTGTTGAGACTTGAGAGAGTTAAAGACTTAAAGTTAAATGAACCTGTAAAAGTGTAAACCCTATAGGCCAATACACAATATGCTTTTACTTTTATAAAGTCATTCACATTGTGTTGTTTGAATCCGAGTACAATTTATGATGCAACTCCGATGTAAATAATATTTAGGGCGTAAAGATTAAATCTAGGCAAGTCTATTTCCTAAAAGAATTAAAAACTAAAAATAGTGTTCGTAAAAATTCCAAACGTTCCATGCGTGTAAGCTATTCGCATGACAAGGCACTGCAAACTCTGTTCAGGGAAGATAATAGAGTTGCTCCAATAAACCAGATAATACAATTGCTCCAATAAACCAGTGAATGCAAGCGAGGAGTGATTAGTTTCAGAGTGTTGCACTGTCTTTTTCTGTTCGAATGTACTCCTACGTTTATTTTGTATCATCAACACTCTGCAAGTTGGAGTGGAGTATTTAATTATTTATTTATTATGCCGAATATTGGGGGGGGGGTGGACATTTTGTTTGGGGGGGTTATAGCTAATATTGGGGTGGTAGCACCCCCTGCACCCCCCCCAGAAAATCCGTCTATGTTTGAAAGTTCACTGAAAGGAATATTGTAGTCTTTCTATCAGTATAGCATGCCTACCCACTTATTTTTCTGCTCACTTGATATATTCACTTGATTTCTCCATGTACTGTCCAAAGAGCGATTGACGGCTAAAATTGCGATTAATTGTAAAATTCATGTTTGTTTCAGACAACTTATCAGAAAACGACAAATCAAGAATTTCTTACATGAAAATAGTGAGCTCATGGTGCACATGTCTTGATGATGGACTGAATGAGTCAAGTGATCTCCAGGATAATATTCAAAACCAGATTTTTGAATACTTTCAGTCAACGGTAAAAATGTCTTTGAATAATAAAGGCACGGTTACACGAAGTAATTTTAAATAATAAAACGTTCAAAAAGAAAGTGATCCTTGTAAATGGTTAATATGAAGACTGCCTGAAGCATTCCTTGTCACGCATTATTCACGATTTAATGCGGAAAGGTCTATAGACTGGGGATTGCATTTATTTAATTAAACAAGCGTGGCAAGTGAAAACAAGTCTCAAATTGTTAAGCAAGGAAATCCTTGTTTCACGACTTGGCTGTTTAATTTACCCTGTTTAATCTATATATAGTCGATCCCTTCATGGATACACGCTCTACATACTGTTGGAATATATTTCTCATTTTAAACTGAGTCCTTCGTTTATCGTCATCTAGGAGTTTGATATCCTAAAGCCTGTTCATTCGAAGTTGGTAAGTCTTTGCTCTTCAAAATGTCTAATAATTTGATATAAGGTTTACGCTCGATAATGTCTTCTACAAAACCTTCAACTATAAAGTATCCTACATTTAGTAGTTTACCCAAGATTAAGTACTCAGGCAGACAGACGTAGTCTGAGGTACCTGTATACTAGTATATTAAAGCAGAATTATCGAGTATATTGGCCCTGGCTGGGCTTGATGAATTAATTACAAAATCATGTTTCACTTGATGTATGATTGTTTTGTATATTTTTATTTTCAGTTCTTCACTGCTGCTTTCATCTTATGTTCTGGTCCGATACAAGGCCATGTTGCCTTGGTTATTGTAAAGAACCTCGGGTATGCACAGTCGTTTTCGATAGCATTTCGATAGTTTCAAGAGTATTCATTAATTGAAATTTATACTGCATGTATGCATTATGCCCCAATGTAAGAATCTTTAATTTTGGAGATCCAATGTCGGCCGTCACGGAGAATATGTATATAAAGGCCCGGTTACACTTGCAATATGTGAATATAGACGTGAACGAGTGAATGAGTTATGAATGTTGAGATGAGGTTACACTTGCAATATGTGAATATAGACGTGAACGAGTGAATGAGTTATGAATGTTGAGATGAGGTTACACTTGCAATATGTGAATATAGATGTGAACGAGTGAATGAGTTATGAATGTTGAGATGAGGTTACACTTGCAATATGTGAATATAGATGTGAATGAGTGAATGAGTTATGAATGTTGAGATGAGGTTACACTTGCAATATGTGAATATAGATGTGAACGAGTGAATGAGTTATGAATGTTGAGATGAGGTTACACTTGCAATATGTGAATATAGATGTGAATGAGTGAATGAGTTATGAATGTTGAGATGAGGTTACACTTGCAATATGTGAATATAGATGTGAAAGAGTGAATGAGTTATGAATGTTGAGATGAGGTTACACTTGCAATATGTGAATATAGATGTGAATGAGTGAATGAGTTATGAATGTTGAGATGAGGGTACAAAAACTCAGATCATTCGTAACTCATCCACTCGTTCACATACATCAGAAGAAGAAAATCAGTAGAAATCGCAGCAAAAATTAAGCAGCTTAATTTACGACGTGCGACCATGCACTCAATCGAAAAGACATAAAATACACACTAAATTTTGTTGTCAAAAACCGTACACCATGACTGCAATAAGCTGTCGTGTCTGAACTGCCTGAATTTGGAAAAAAATTAAAACATCTTTTTCAGGTATTTCAGGTATTTCAGATATCATTTGTGAGAGCTTATTATAAAATACGACATACTAGATCCCACGTTTAAAACACTGTTTGTGGATGCTTTGACTGCGTGTTATTTATAGTTCTCTGCAATTGTTCCAGGATATCTATATCTAAATATCGTAAGGATCAGGAATATTGCAAGGAAGGTCTGCGTCTACTGACTCTGCTGGCAACACAATGTGGAAGAAGAGAAGCCATGAATGACGAAGATATGAAGGATGCACAAGTGCGTTCCTTGCATCTCTTGAAGGCGTTTTGGTACGTCATACATTCATTTTTCCTTGTCGGTTATAGTTAAAGACAATTGGAACATTCCCAGCGAAGGAAGTGTTATTCCGAGTGAAATGTATTGTATTGTTTTATTGAATTTCATGTTTGATGAAAAATTAATGTATTTTCTAGCACTCTTCCTAGTGTTGAAACTTTCTTTTGATTGTGCAGGAACCTGAGAGAGAGTAGTTATTGTTCGTCAGTGCGTCTTCAAATTGCCAAGTGCATGGACACGTTTATCCGGGTAAATCTTTATGTTTTTATTGTATTAGCGTGACAATTGTGGAATACTCATCATTTGGACTGTAATTTTTAGTTTTAAATTTGACAATGTGTACATTCTTCACTCTCTCCGGTCGCTCTGTAATTGTGTTTTAACCTCACGGCAATCTCTTACCAAGAGCCACTCAATTGATGACTGTGGGTACGAGATTTCCCTTACATAACTCATCTCTTATAATATAACCAGAGCCACTCAATTGATGACTGTGGGTACGAGATTTCCCTTATACATAACTCATCTCTTATAATATAACCAGAGCCACTCAATTGATGACTGTGGGTACGAGATTTCCCTTACATACTCATCTCTTATAATATAACCAGAGCCACTCAATTGATGACTGTGGGTACGAGATTTCCCTTACATACTCATCTCTTATAATATAACCAGAGCCACTCAATTGATGACTGTGGGTACGAGATTTCCCTTACATACTCATCTCTTATAATATAACCAGAGCCACTCAATTGATGACTGTGGGTACGAGATTTCCCTTACATAACTCATCTCTTATAATATAACCAGAGCCACTCAATTGATGACTGTGGGTACGAGATTTCCCTTACATAACTCATCTCTTATAATATAACCAGAGCCACTCAATTGATGACTGTGGGTACGAGATTTCCCTTACATAACTCATCTCTTATAATATAACCAGAGCCACTCAATTGATGACTGTGGGTACGAGATTTCCCTTATACATAACTCATCTCTTATAATATATAGACAGCAAGCTTTACCCAACTTTTTTGGATTTCTTAGTTCCGTTGTCGTAATCAATTGGTAATTTAAAACTTGTTATCTTTCAGTTTGATCCGGACAAAACTCTTGCCTTCTTTGAGATACAAGAAAATAATAACGGTTAGTTTTTCGTAAATATATTTTCAATTTAATTAATAATTTTTTTTTTTAATTAATAATATGTGTGCATGAATACCATTGTAATTACAAAATTTGAAAGCTGTTTTGTATTCCAGTAAATATCGAGATTTTGTTGGCATCTCACTGGATTGAATAATATAGTTGAAGGGTCTTGGAAATGGAATTATGTCGAGTGGAATTATAAATTTATATATAAGTATTAGACTAACCAGGAACATTTATAATTCCACTCGATAATTTCCATCTATACAAGACCCTTCAACTATTATTCCATTACTCCGTTAAGCTAATCAGCATTCGAATAACGGGGAATAACATGGAAAGTATAATACAAATTATACATTCTATTTAGCGGTAGCTGAAACTCATCATGGTTGCTATCGCTGGGCATCGGTGAAATAATTCAACATACTGTATATTCAACATATATTCATTTTTTTCCATTTTAGATTCGTCTGTACATATATCTCATGTATTTCCTCGACTATTGTGTGACCAAAGTCTTTCAGTAAGGATGTACATGGCTGAAGCAATTGGAATTCTATTCCTCAAATTTAAATCTAAAAGTTTGAGTGTTCCCGAGAAGCCTGCCATCCAAGATGAACTACTTGACATTGTCGCTCTTTACTTATCTAAATCCCTTGTTGTAGAGGTAAGTCTTAAATAAAACGTGAGCAATTATGAAACACATACATATGAATGTTCATCATGTTTATCGATTATTTTAAAGATATAAGTTGTTTTAGCTTAAAGTATCCAACTTCTGTTAATCAAGATGAAATGTGCATAAGATTTTTGTTGATGAATTATTACTTAGTTCATATAACTCCTTTACTTGTCCAGCCTGGTATCCAGACCAGATGGTGCTAAAATCTAGCAGATTTCTAATTTTAAAACTAACTTGGATTCCTTTAAAATCAAACCAATCTTGCAAAACAAAATGCAAGCTATAAATTAAAGTATAAATATCAAATATTTATCAACATTATAATCATAAATTAAAAAATCTGCAGATCACGTGACCAGCTCCTACCAGGGTCTTGCAGATCACATGACCATTTCCTACCAGAGCCTGTGAACGAGGTTGTTGTTTACCCCGTACAAACTTTTAAAAGTTATCGTGTCACAAACAAGCTCAACGACTGGCATTTCACATGTTGTTCTTACAATGTTGTAGTAGTCTTTGGAGTAAGAAAGTTATTTTTTCCAGACGAAACTGAGTGAAAGTGAAGATGAAGGAGTGAACAGAGCAGCCAGTCTTCTCTCAGCGTTTAAAACAATCGTAACTGTGAGCTGTTGGTGTGAAGCCAAAGTTATATGTTTATTATTTCAAGCCACGAAGGAGCAGAAACTAGATCAAGAAATAGTTGCCAAGGTTTGTTGTTTTTTTTATATATTGTTTAACAAACAAGAAATCCCTTATCTCATCTGTGACTAATATGGTGGCCGTTCTAGCCTTTTAGACTGGGCACTAATTCAATATTGTGTTAATCATTGGTACGTCAGGATTCAGGCTGAGCATTAATCATAAAATACGGACCTACCAATGCCGCTAAACGTTTTGGTATAAGGGTAATACCCAAATGGCTAAAATCTGGATATAGTTAATAAGTAGTTAGACGGAGTTGAATTGATATTCCTAAGGATCTTTGTTCTATGGAATAAATGCTCATAGTATTGATTTTCAACAAATCGTTACCTGAGCTGCGAGTTCGAAATACTGTATTTCGTCTTTTCATTAGAGTCGTTCAGGTTCCTCTACTGCTCACTTGCTCTGTGTGCATCTGATTGGTTAATCGGGTAGATTAAACGCATCTGATTGGTTAATGTCTCTTAATGGTAGCGGTAGTGAAAGTTGTGAAAGTTAAATCTGAACCTTTCTAACCACCTGCCAGGCAGGCTACTTTATTGCCACACCGTTACAAACTACAGGTATTACAAGAAACATTGAGGGATCTTGGAGGTACTGATAGCCTCATTTTGTGTATCAATGTCTACATATTTGTTGGGAAGTCAGTAGCCAACTGGAGTTAGTAGGGCCTTTGCTCGAAACGTCGAAGTTCTGCTTGTGTTTTTCAGGTAGTTTTGTGCGTATCTACAGAATTGAGATTATATCACGTGCAACTTGCAGCGAAGATTTCCTCGTGTAACATGGCCGAGCCTGAGTACGAGGTTGAGCCAGTATACCTATACTTATATCTTGTTTTGTTCCAAGGTTATTCGTCAGATCAGTGCAATCTTGGGTTATGAATCAACAGAGGTCTTCATCAAGACTCACATTGGTTGTATTATTGACAGTTGGTTAAATCATGGCTTTAAGTTAGCTGATTTTCCAGTTCAAGCACTAGAATTTAAGTCACTTGCTGATTTCCTGAGGTGAGTTAGTTGTTTTCTGAACGAGATATCTCCAGCATACATATTATACTAATTGCATTATTGCGCCGTTGAATGAATTTTGTGTTAATATCACTTGTTTACAAAGTACCACATTAATCCAACATGAGTGACTATAGGTAACTTCAGCTGGCTTAGAATATACAGTAAATGTCCCAAAAAAGCTTCACACTAACTTTGCTAAACAATTTAACATCAGTATTGCTGCAGATTATATAGTATGGTGGTTAGAGTAAGGGTTAGGGATAAAATTAGGATTAGAATTACGACTAGGATTAGTGTTAGAATAATGGTAAAGATTGGGATAAGGGATAGGAGAAGGGTTAGGGATTAGGATTGTAGGGATTTGCACAATATTTAAATTGTGGTTGTTAGTATGCAGTGGTATAGAACTGAAACACTAGCAATGGAGGGGGAGGGGGGGGGGGTGCTCTGAAAAGTAGCGGGGTGACAAAGCGTGGAGGGTGCAACATGATCAACATGGAAACTTCCAGTATTTATGTTTGGCTTTAGCTATTTTTTAAATAATTTGAAATAACTGATTCCTATATACCGTAGCTATTTCGCGCACCGTATAATTTTATACCATGCAACTGCATAGAACTTTCCAGGTTATGATTATCCAAAAACACTGGGAGTTCAACTTCCCAAATTGACATTTAAATAATATGGATATTAATACGAAAATTAACTTGGTTTATGTAACATCATTTGGTAAATATAAATTGTTTCAATGTAAAGTTATGAATTGATTTTAGAACTCATCATGCTGCAATCATGCCACACTTAATTTGGCGTTTTAAGGAGACAGAATCTTTGAAGACGGTTGGACGGGAGATTGGTAATGATGGTGACTGGACAGAGTTTCTTGTTCTTGATTTCTGTAAGATCATGTCAATTATTGTTCCATCGTTTGCTGAACAAGGTCGACAGAAGACTGACTCTCAGGAACCAGAGTTAGATCAACGAAGAGCGTACGATTGTCACTCTTTTGTGGAGAAGATCCTTCAAAAAGAGGTATGTGCATTCTGGTATGCACTAGTTGTTCAGATTTGACTACCACTATACCGCTACCATTGAGGGATCATTAACCAATTAGATGCGTTTGGTATATCGGATTAACCAATCAGATGCGTTTGATATATCGGATTAACCAATCAGATGCGTTTGATATATCGGATTAACCAATCAGATGGGTACTAAGTCAGTGAATGGTAGTGGTAGCAGTAGTCAAATCTTGACCTCCGTAATAATAATATGTAGAGTTTCATATACCCAAATAAAGTATAGGCTAGTAATGATGTTACAATATGTGCAAGCAAGGCGACTCTGACAAACAATGCGACCCTAGTGAGCGAGGCTTGGGTCACCCCTGGCACTTGTCGCTGAATACCCAAGCATTCATATGACCCAGTCTTTCACCAGTCAGTTTGTGGGTAGCATAGATATAGGAGATCTAGATTGCTAACGCATACCTAGCGCAGGCGGGGCCTACATGATAAATCCAAGATGGCGGTACAACAGGGCAAAAAGACTATAGATTCTATTACGAAAATCAGGATTTTTGCAGTTTTTGCCGTCGCATTGTTTCGAAACTTATTCGGTCAAATTTTATGGTAAAGAGAAACTTACCACGACGATTTTGAGCATATATATGATTGAATTGGATGAAAAATCGCAAAATTACCCAGCGATAAAAGTTCGTGTGAAATGGTCACTTGGTCAGTTCGAGCGTTTCATTGCCAGAAATACTGTGTATGTTAACATCTAGCCTCGTGAATGGTGTTTTATACTGTTTAAACGTGAAATCTAGTTTAGGATCATATACTTCCCGATTTTGACAGTATAAATACAATATGTCCATTTCATAATTCCAAGTCTTGGGCATTCTTGACCTGAACGAATACGACTACCACAATTAATTTTCATGCTATTTCTCTACATATTGCACAATGTTTGTTGCAAGTATAAAACACCATTCACGAGGCTAGATGTTAACATAGCACAGTGTTTCTGGCAATAAAACGCTCGAACTGACCAAGTGACCATTTCACACGAACTTTTATCGATGGATAATTTTGCGAGTTTTCATCCAAGTCAATCATATATATGCTCAAAATCTTCGCGGTAAGTTTCTCTTTACCATAAAACTTGACCGAATAAGTTTCGAAACAATGCGACGACAAAAACTGCAAAAATCCTGATTTTCGTAATAGAATCTATAGTCTTTTTGCCCTGTTGTACCGCCATCTTGGATTTATCATGTAGGCCCCGCCTGCGCTAGGTATGCGTTAGCAATCTAGATCTCCTATATCTATGGTGGGTAGGGACACGCCCGCCGTCTTTTGGGACGTCCCTGGTTGAGTAGCACTTTCATTGCGATAGTAACATGTAGTTTATAATTGTATATTTTGTCCAGGTTACTGACAAATTGATGGTGGTGAAGTTTGATGAACTTATCGTCGAACTTTTGTTAAAAATGCATGACTCACCAAGCGAGTTGCCTGACGTTTCTCACTTCATCAGGTTAGGGGAAATTTTGGAAATGCGCTGGTTCTCGTGTGTATTTATTTTTAGTAAATTTTAATTAGTAAATTTCGAATAGCGCTGGTTCTCGAGTGTACTTTGCTGGCGTACTTTTAATATATTAATCAAGCCTTAATAAAATATTTTTCTTCCTGGCAGCAGGCTTCCCAGACCAAAAATTTCCTGTCAATTTTTTTTATAAATTTGAATTTTGGTTGTAATTCAATAACAGCGTCGTATATACCACCTTAATAAGTCGTATACTACCTCAATATTAAGAAAAATATAGCGGTGGCACTGCCACATGATACAAATTTTTATGTTATGATTGTTGTATTTATATGCTCTAATTGTGATGTTTGTTACTTTAATGCTGATTTTTGAAATTTCTCAAGCTTCATTCTTGATATCTTGCTTTTCCTTAAAAATTTCCTGTGAGATTAAAAAAATTTCCTGGCAGCATGCTGCCATGCTGGCGGACTTTCTCATGCCTTGATATTAATAATTATTTGGTCTGTTAGACATATTTTATTCATCTCGTGTTACTACAAAAGTAACCGGAGAAAACCTGCAATGTTTGGTAAAGTTTGCTATACTCTTCTCACATGCAACCGAGGCGAAATTATAGTCAGACAACCGCATATTAATTACAGAAATAGAATTCTGGTGGCAGAGGTTACACCCTAACCATAGTGTTGTACTCTGTAATTCTGGTTACAGAGGTTACACACTAACCATAGTGTTGTACTCTGTAATTCTGGTTACAGAGGTACACACTAACCATAGTGTTGTACTCTGTAATTCTGGTTAGAGAGGTACACACTAACCATAGTGTTGTACTCTGTAATTCTGGTGGCAGAGGTTACACACTAACCATAGTACTCTGTAATCAAGAGCAAATACCATGATTTACGTCGACGTGTTTAAAACAATATTAATTTTACTAAGGTAATTAAGTTTTGTTTGTTTGCTGAGTCCAATACATTTCTTTCGTTGTAGAGATTACGACCCGCCTACAGAACAACCACACTTCACTTCACATGCCATCAAAGCAACTTTAGATTATCTCACCAAGTGTCATGATGGCTCGAATAATACACTCGTATCAATCTTGTGCAAAAGAAAAGTATATTTATTTCTTTTTTGTTAAATGCTTGTTCCTTCTTTTAAATTTACTGTTGTTTGTTTTGTGTTTCTTTGCTTTGATAGCTTCTGTTATTCTGTTCACGTTGTCAGGGGCGGCGACGGTAACGGGGGAACCTGACCGCCCCCTGATTGAGCACAATTCTCAAGTAGCTCGCCTTCTGTATACGTGTGTCCCTGTGCACAGGGCCCTTCGCCGTTTGTTACGGTTGTTTTAAAATTCTGACGTCACAGCGAAACCCAGAATTATCCCAATGCCCTGCTGTTTCTTGTTCCCGTACTAGACTAAGCCTTCCTTAAGTTTGCTATTGTCGCTAACTAGATTTCACTCAGTTTTCACTTTTCTCTGTAGGAGAATATTCAGAAGATCCTGCTCAGGTTGTCAGAACATTTGGAAGATACTTCCATATTTCATAAGAGGCGTTCATTTCTTGCTATGTATCGTTTGTTTGTGCTGCTTTTACTCCAAGATTTAAACCAAGGATTGGCAGGAACATGGGCGTTTGTCGTCAGAGACATTGTCTACACCATAATAAGGACCATATCGCGTCATAATCCTAGAAATATCTTGAGAATTAATGGTTTAATGCGTGAGGGAGAAATTAACATTGAACTGGATAATGACGTTTTCACTCCAAGCTGTGATTTACTCTATCAAGTTTGTAAAGTAGCGCTGTCTTGCTGTCCACAGGTTTGTTGTATTTATAATAATAGTCTGCATGGAATCTGATCCTATTTTGTTACTGGACCTTGAAGATGAATTTTGTCGAAAATGTTAAACATTTGTATGTAACTTCATTTTGTATTTTCCCAGGAAATTGGTCATCATCTTCTGGACATTGTCAATGAAATTATCCCGTTTGTGTTGACAAAGGATAATCGATCTAAGAAGGTGCAGTAAAATAAGACTCTCCTATCCTATCTCTTACTCTCTTACTATATATACCGTAGTTGCACAATTTCCATTATGTGTATCGATTCATTTTATACTCTTTCTTTTTTTAGGCGGTTGCTTTACTGAAGTTCCTGATTGTTGACAACAAGTCCTGTTTAGAGTCGTCTATCTCGTGTCTCGATCCATTCCCTGATCAACCTCAGTTTGCAGTGTTTAACGAGGCTTACTGGTCTGTACGTCGAAATGATGAATACTTCACACTAGCAGCGGTACGTTGGCTTTCTATTTCATGCACATGAATATTAAATAGTCTAGTTACACACAAAATAACTCTTCATTTGTAGAACAACTTCTTTTGTGTATCCTCAGTGGGCGACACTGCGTGAAACATTGGGGGGAACTTTGGTCAGGGTTTTAGACTTTCGTTGTTTAAAAATAATATTGTTGGTCGTTCGACAAAGGTTTTATCCCTTTTCACCCTCTTTTATCCCCCTCACCCTACCAGTGTTTACCGCTGTCGTTGGGACATTTTAATTCATTTTAGTCAGTCAGAAAATTTGGCACTGATGGATCACTTACAAAGTTTTTCACATCAGTGAAAATTTTTTATTTCTTTATTATCAATGCATGCCCTCTTTCCCTTGGGCACTTCCAAAAGTAAATTGTTGTTGTTTCCGTATAGGAAATTGAACATTATCTTTCAATGAGTGGCCGTTGTCGTTCCACGTCCAGGGTGGAAGGTCTTCGTTATCTACGGTCAAGATTTACACATCATAAGAATGATCTACAAGAAGCAACTAGAGTTGGTCTCGATGGTAATTTTCTTGTACCATTGTCTCGTATCGTTGCTTCCATTGCTTTATTTGTATAACTATGCTATCACACATCCTTACACAAACTTCATCTAGTCCTTGAGGTCAAATCCTCTCAACAAGGTTTCAAGTATTATACCAAGAGCAATATAAAGCAGTATATTGGATATTTTATTTATTTTTCATAGTTAAAACATTTCTCGCCATTAATTCCTCTTCATCCTGTCCCAGCTGTGTATGAATATTCAGATCCCGTCTAGGGTTGAATGATATTGTTCATTTAACTCTAGGATAAATTGATTAAATTTCAATGATTGAGAGAACAAGATGTCTTTCGAGAACCCTCCAACCTTCGTTTCCAATTTTGAAATATTATTACCACTTTTTTTTAATAATTTACGAATCATTCTTTTGTTTAGCGTCTCGTTCATTGCAGTTTTATTTTCTCTAGGAGGACTATCAATGAGACTGTTGAAGCGGCTGGTTAGCGTGAAAACTCAACGAAAAGAAGTGATAGTTGAAGTTGCTAAACTTTTAGCAGAGATTGGATCATGGAGATATGTTTCATCTTTGAACCTCACCATGTCTCAAGGTATAAATGTCAAAGCGTCAACAAGATGTGTTGGCACTGCTTGTTGCTTGTTCCAAGTTGTTGACAAGTTTAGCACATGTTGATGAGACCAACAGACTCGCAACAAGTTGTTCCAACTTCAGTTGAATTGTTTTTTTTCTTCAGACGATGCTAACTTCAACTATAGCAAAGCGTGTGAGGCTTTCAAAGGAGATGAAGAAAGTTGTCGTAATTGTCGAATTCTTCACGTACTCAATGATTGTCTCATTGATAGAGAGTGAGTTGAACGTCTTAGCAATATCTTGTTTGTATGTTGTATTCACATTGTTGGCTTCGGCAGATAACACTAGCTCAATTATTTCGTATAATGCCAAAACTCCCGTATACATAGATAATAATATTTAATATTTATACAGGAATGCCTGATTAGTAAAATTTACTGTTATCAACTAAGGTCCTGTGTTTTAAAAGTCTAAAAGTTAAGGTAGTTATCTATTTATATTTACAAATTCAGATGTAATAAATACAAAATTATTTTATTTGCTTTGCTAGTAATTGACCGTGCACATAATGACGTCAAACGAAACATAACGACGTCAAATTGCATTGACGACAACTCGCAATACAATGATGTTACATGAAATTTTATTCGCTAGACAAGTTGGTTTTCATATTGCTCCAATATAAATTGTGTTGTTCGTGTACAGTTTACGCTCACAATTTCCACATTCACCACCTTGTGCTCAACCTTGTGTACTACTTGAATTTCTTCATTATTGTACGGCATTATTCCTGAATAAACATGGTTTCCAGGAAAATAAGTATATATTTTTCTTTGCTGATTTCTAGCATAAAGAAGGTGGTTGCAGCATCTTCATGTTTGAAAGACATTCTTGGTAAACACAGCATCGTCATGCTGATGAAATGTTACGAAGAACAGAAAATTGATCATCTCTTTGGATATCTTGAACCTTTTAAACCCAACAAGCGAAAAAAGGTAAAACATTTTAGACTGCTTCAAGTCTCTGGAATTGGGTTCAGTTTTGATCATTGAAATCATTATGTATGGCTTTGATAGGTCTATCCAGTCTGCTATAAGAACAGTTCATGGTTTACTGATCTCATAATCCCCATAAAAAATGAAGCAAGTCTAAAAATTTCGATGACATCATCTTTTCAACCACAGACAGTGCGATCCTGGTTCTCACGTGACATCATCGCCGTCTTATTGGATACATTTGACGGAGTTCCCAGACGCACGTATTCCTCTTTGATCTTGACCCCAATGGCAACCCCATCCCAAACCTTGCTGCACGTGAAACTCGAGTATAACCTGATTGCCCTTAGTCGTTGAATCCCTGGGGAATGTAGTTGTATAGCACCTATTCTTGGTTACGTCATCAGCGCCATTTTCCTTGTTTGCAATTTAAATATCCTCCAACATTGTAAAAATCTCTTTGTGCGTACTTTTTCCCTTATGTGCTACACATAGTTTTCTTCATAGTGTTCAAAGTAAAAACTTTACTTCACGATATTAACCATGATAGTTATGTAACATACGGCCCTTACAAATTTACAAGAACAAAATTAATTAGTGATGAATACGTTTACAATTTAGTACATATTTATAATTTTTACAAAACAGGTCTTCTTTTGGTTAGTAAGGTTAAGCTTATTAAGAAGATTTTACGAAGTATTTATTTTTGAGATAAAAAATATCGTTGGCTTCTGTTTGGTTTCTAATAGTTATTATGACTTTCCTGTTAAGTTGGTTTAAAAGTTTCATTAAATTTAATGTACTGTTATGTATTACCATTGATGTAAATATTTATGAGTTACTAAATTACACCGTATATATCGTATGTGTGCTGAATATGCTATATGTCCTATTTAACTGTTTAAACTTTTTATTTAACTTTTTAAATAATGAATTTGGGGTGTTTCCACAAACCTAAACTGATATAACATTTTGTTTCATTGTTCGTTTTGTTATAAAGAAATCAGAGAAAGACGAAGTTGCAGTGAAATCAAACCTTCAAAGTTTTTCAGCGATCGTACGAGATTGTGATCTCTGGAATCCTGGCAACTTCATCAACCACACTGAATGGATCTCAACATTGACTTCAAAAATCATTGATAGCGGTGTTGTTCAGGATGAAGTATTTCAATGTCTGTCTCAAATGTGTAAAGTACATGTAAGTATTTTTTAACCACATATTAATTTACTGATTGGCTTGCCACATTTAGTTTGCCACTTCCAATTCTTCCTGGGGCAAAAAGTCATTACTTCGCCTCGTGTCTTGTTAGTTTGGGGTAAACATGTTCCCCAGTAATGAGGAACTGGTAAAAATTGATCTGAAACAAGAACAATTTACATTTCTAAGTATATGTTAACCAGTACAAATTGAAGATAAATACCACCAACTTTAATAAGCTTTCCAAAATATCGTAAGAAAGTTATTTTTGATAATAAATCTTCAACCTGAAACCAGTCGTAGTATGTTACCTTAAGTAAAGGCAGGTGACTATTTCTGAGTTCTGTGTTTTTTAAATGAATTAACTTGTGCAATCCGACGTGTTTGATATCTGTTTTCAGGCTCCGTTTGCTGATCTCGTGTTTCCATATCTTATTCATGACATTCTCCTCAATCACGGAGCGACTTATCGAGAACAGTTGTCGGAACAAATCAGAAAAATATTCTTATCTCATGCCCATTCTTGTTCAAACCAAAGCAGAGCAAGTACACCACTCATCACGACGACTGGCAATAATGATTCAAGTGAAGGTAAATGAACATGTGGCGATGTTACACGGAACGATCTTCAATCAAGAGTTTTATGCAAATTATGTTAAACGAAATTGTATTGGTTCAGTAACATTTTGACAAATTGTCGTTGAAAATCGGCCCGTCTAACATCGCCATAACAGACAGATCTGGCTAACGTTGTTTACATCGTTGCTACCCATTTCACAACTTTAGATAACTCGCATGCCTAGTTGAACATGGAATGTACGAAACTCAGAGTTATGTATGAGCTATTCACTCGTGTAGATCTAATGCTAATTAGTCATGGGTTATCTAAAGCTGTGAATTGGCTATACTCAAACTTTAGCCAAATTTGTCTATTGAATGTTCAACAAAAAATAGCACCTACACAAAATTACTGTTTTAGTTATGCTTGTACAAGGTGTTGTTGCTGTTGCTGTTGCTGCTGCTGTTGTTGTTGTTGTTGTTGTTGTTGTTGTTGTTGTTATTGTTGTTGTTGTTGTTGCTGTTGCTGTTGTTGCTGTTGTTGTTGTTGTTGTTGTTGTTGTTGTTGTTGTTGTCGTCGCCGTCGTCGTTGTCGTTGCTGTTGTTGGAGTTGTAAAGAATGCATAGCAGACTCTCACCAAGACTCACGAACTAAGAGATGTACAGACCAAGTGACTGAAAGATAGATAATTTCTTCTTTTAACTCATGGTTGTTTTCTTGTTTTTTAGCAACTCATGATTCTATTCATTCAGTGTTAAATGTGATCAATTATTTACGCAAACAACCACGTGATGTGAGGTCTGGAACGTCGGGAACATCGTGGGACAGTAACTTTTGGCTAGAATTGAATTATTTAGAACTTGCTGAAGCTGCGTTGAAGAGTTCTGCTTACTGCACTGCTATATTATATATCGAGATATGGAGAGATATTCACAAGTAAGATTTTCTGTTTTTAAGCATGGGATTTACAAGGGTTGCGCCCAGCCTAGTTCTTGCCTTTCGCTTCCGCAATGATAGGCGCTCTGGATTGAGAAGCCTGAGGAGAGACGGGAAGTGAGAAGGCCTAGCACAATTCGAAAATCTGCCCTTCTTGGGACCATTTTTGCCCTTCGAGCGGCCCTAGGTTCTACATATTTACATCGATGTTTTTGTATAACGATATGCCTTTGAACAATGAAGATATTTCGTTATGGAACGAAATACTGACAGGTAAGGATATTTTATTAATTTAGGAGTAAAGCCAAGTTGACGAATTTCGCCAGGCCGTCTCCCGCGGTCCAAAACCGATCCACTCACGCGGGAAGGCCTGCCCCAGAACCTCTTAAGTTCGCATTGATATTCCATGATTTATGGAACATTTCACGACAGCTGTTCGGTGGCACATGGAATCCTTCTGGAAATCGAGCATGTTTTCGTACTCTGGCGATGTTTGTAATATTTATTCTGTACCATCATGTATGTACTGAACAAGAAGCTCCTTCATTGTGTCCATGGGTTTATATTTAAAGTTTTGAACACGGGGTGTCCACGGGTCTTCAAAATCCTGGAAAGTCCTTGAATTAGAAAAAAAAACATTCCAGGACTGGATAGTCCTTGAAAATCAGTAGAAGTCCTTGAAAGTCCTGGAATTAATTTCCTTAATCTCCAGCTGTGCCAACATTAGTGATTTTGATTAAAATTACTGAATAAAGTGATTTATTTACGGCAAATCCGTGCCATTTTCAAACATTTTTCCCAGTTCTAGGAAAAGTCCTTGAATTTCACCTTCACCGAAAAGTGAACACCCTGAGAACAGCGTTAAATAATAGTATATGATGATCTGATCTGATGTCGATAATGATATAGTATACAACCGATAATTCTGTAGTACAACTTATAATTATATACAGTAGTTAGTACAGACCTGTGTTATGTGTAGACCGTAACTTGTCCGTAGACAATGGCATTGTGCATTTGAGTTGTATATTGTTGACATGGCATTTCAATAACTAACTCCACTACTGCTTGCCATAATTTTTCCAAATTTTATCAATAGTTGAGCAACTTTCTTGCAGGGCAACATCCTCCTATTCAGTTGCATCTGGTTCAGACACTCAGGACGTTGCTATGGAGATCAGTAGTGAAAGTACAGAAGAGAGTTCTGAGTCGAACTATCAAAATATCTTATTTGAAGCTTACGCCTCTATTGGTGAACCTGATGCAGTGTATGGTTGCGGAGTTTCAACTGAACTCAAAGCAAGGATACATACTTATGAACAAGAAAAACATTGGGGAAAAGCTCTGAGTAAGTTTGGTTTTATGTGTAAGTCCTCCATGACTATTCTACTGTATTTTAGTCACCAGGCTTGCCTTTGAACCTGGGAGATCCGGGTTCAATCCTCGAATAAGGACGTTAAATCGTGGGTACCTCGGATCCCCTATCAATTGGGCAGTATAGCCTGTTGGGAAATCCGCTGACCAACGAGTGAGAAACTCAATAAAGTCCAACTAAACTTAAACCACAGTTGCTTCAACTTAAAAAAGGATAATTACTTACGATGAAACTTACAACGCTATTTTGAACACAGAATCATAAAGGTATTACTCACAGAAAAACAGCGAGCACGGAGCGCGTTTGATGGACTGGATTTCATCCATACTATGCTCACAATTTCTCGTGGGTTATCAAGATTATTAACTCAATGTGTTCTCTGTTGTTGTTATAGGGGCGTATGATCTATATTGTCGCCAGTCTGATAACCAGTCGTGCGTGGGAACTGTGCAGGTAACACCTTGTTCGCTGGCGAAACAAACAAAAAAGGCGAAGCCGACGAATAGGCAATTCCAGCTTTTAATTTATGCGCGCAGGGGGTGATGGGAAGTAAGGTATCATATTGCTGGTTATGCTGAAAATTTTCAATAAAAACTGCCGAAACAACCGAAATATTTCAATATTTACAAGTATAAGCTATCACTCCATGTTTACACAGCCACCATTTTTAATTTTTCAGCATAATCAGCAATGTGATACCTTACTTCCCATCGTCCCCTGCACGCATAAACTAAAAGCTGGAATTGCTTATTGCGCTGCTCAAACGAAATTAGGCATCGCTCTCTATCGCTCTAGAGTTAGTCATTTTGTTAGTTTGTTTGTCCGTTATTTTGTTATTCAAAAATGGTATTTCTTCGGGCTTGTGATGCACATGCCCCCGCCCAATGCGCCCTGCATGTAGTACTATATCTGGTTCTGCTTTTTATTTTTTTTAATCTTTCCAATTTTACACTCAGTTGTTACTTAAAGTAGGTTAGTAGGAGTGTATACTAATACAATTAGCGGCCTCGTTGTCTCTTGTTGTATCAGGCTTCGCTTTCGGTAACGTATTTGCCTTCATTAACTGTTCGCTCATAGACAACTTGGATTCGTTGTCTAATTGTTAATCAATTGGTCTAGTGGTGCTAAAGTTTGGGAAAAACTCTTCGTGCATCATGCGACTCATGTGAAATTATAATCAGACTGAATATTGCAAGAATCAAACCCGCGAACAGGTGTAAGGCACTTGTGGTAACCACTGTGGCACCAACATCTTCTTTTAAACCCTTTAATTGAAATATTTTCCTCTGCTCTGATCTCACTAGGCTTTAAACACGTTTGGCCTTGATCATGTGACATACAATTATCTGAAAGGGTTGGGAGATGAAAACCAAAATGAGGTAAAGACATGCCTGTTACCACCAGGAGGTTTATCTGCAATTCCATATGTGTGTGTGTTTGCCTTTGTCTGTCAGTATGATAACTTCAAAACTATCAAACGTATCAATACGAAAATATGTGGATCTAAAGGACATTGCCCAAGGAACAAATTGATTAAATTTTGGATGAAAATTGGCTGAGAAATTAGCGAAAGTTTGTCTTGCTTTGCCAGTAAACTGGAATGCGCAGTTCGCGCATTATATAATTCATGCATGGTATATAACATAATTCTCTGACGGAGGTCTGCAGTCTTCGAGTTCCCTCTAGTTTCAAATGCAGCTTCTGTTTTAGGCCTTTTGGACCTTCGCTCGAAACGTCGAAGTTCTCCTTGTAATTTTCGGGTAGTTACATCCCTATCAACCGAAGTTTAGTTTGAAGTAATATTGCTGGTGTGATATATTTTTTAGTTTCTGGAACTTCAATATGAATCGGCTTGGCGAAACAGGATCTGGAATATTGATAAAGATATCAGGTAGAAATATATATTGTGTAATAATATTTGTAAAAGTGCAAGGCAAGTTAAATTGATAAACGATCCACTCTATCAAAATGAAAAAAATAATTAAGAATTAATTTAAATTTTCCGCGATTGTCTATGCACGATTCGCACATTAGAACATTGTGTCTGTTGTTGTGTTCAACATTTTTTTTAAATATAATTTTTAGTGATAAATTTACAGTTGACAATGGAGGATTTCATGAGTGCGTCTATGAGAACATTCAGTCATTACGAAACAAAGATCTGAAATTATTTGATTTCTCACTTGATGAATGCAGGTTAGTGTTACTATGACAACCAGTGAAGCATACATTGTCACTCACAATTTGTTAATGTTTTTTTTTCATCCCAATACTTTGACATGCCGATAGTACAATCTAAAAACAGCCTGGTCACAATTTTCCTGGTAAACCAAGAAATAACCCAACAAAAAATTTTATTGTCTCATTTGAAAGAACGTTTAAAATTATTTCTAAAATCTTGTTACAGATTTTTCATATCAAGCTTAACTCTTGAAATATTTTTACTGAAAGAAATGAACTGTCCGCCATCTTGGATTATTGAAGATATGCATGATACGTCACAAGTGGGGTCACGCTAGTTTTTTATCGTGACAGCCAGTGATCAAAATATTCAAGAATCAAGCCAATATATGAAAAATCTGTAACAAGGTTTTAGAAAAAATTTTAAACGTTCTTTCAAATGAGACAATAAAAATTTTTGTTGCCATTGTCCTTTAACTGAATATTCCTGGTAAAAGTTCCTGGTTATTTTATCTTACTTCCTACCATAATCTGGTTAATGTAAATGGTGTTAGGGTGTACTGAAGTGAGTTTGGAGGTTGAAAGAACATCTGGTGAAAATGGCGGAACTTCTTTTCAGTTACTTTTAGCTGGCATAGTTGCAAAAGTTTTGTTTGCTGGGTTTGGTGGGTAATCCTAGTGACGATGTATATACAGCTATTTCAATTAAGGTTGTCCCCCGAGCAAAGTGGAAAAGTCGAATACGAGCGCGAAAGGCTGCTGGGAATCGCTAACTTAAATGAATGAATTTATTAGCGATTCCCAGCAGCCTTTCGCGCTCGTATTCGACTTTTCCACTTTGCTCGGGGGACAACCTTAATTGAAATAGCTGTATACAATTTAAGACCTAATCAGAAACAGTTGCGAAAAATTTCCTCAACTTCACAGGAATCGAACCTGTGATTCTGGTGCTCTAATCAATTGAGCTATACAGAGGCCAGTTGTCGAGCATTGTGCTCAGCGGGTTACTCTGAGCTTTACAAGTTCATGTATGTGTGGGGTTTTGAGTGTGCGGGTTGTGATAAGTGAACATGAAAGATGTTTTTTTTGCATTTCACTTGGTTGAACTAGAATGCTGAGTTTGGTGGATAATGCAAGTGAGCATATATATATACACAATTTAAGACCTCGAAACATGAAGACTATGTCTTCATTTTATTTCCAGATTCCAGATTGTCGACGAATTATGTAGAACGAATACCGAGAGCGTTTGCGAAGTTTATCCTCAAATCTTACGACTTCAATGTTTGGGAGAGCTCGAGCAGGCGAGGAAAATTCATGAAACGTAAATTTTCTTTATATTTTTATTTTCTGCATGCATTTATATATCCACGAGTCTTCCTCTTGACGTGGAACTTCAGGGCCGCCGAATGGTTTCGCGGGGCCCGGGGTGAAACTTCCCCCATGTGGGCCCTATGACGTCATAATTGAAAAACGGGAGAAGCGATGTTTTACAACATATTACATGTAATTGCATATAATTTCTTCATACAAGATTAAGCAATCTTGTATGAAGAAATATTAAGGTCCTTTGTTGCTTTGGTGGCACCTTTTGAGCTGGGGAAAAGTGCAAAGTGCCCCGTCGCCTCTCTCGGCGACCTTGCGTGTAACATCGCTCAACCCAAGGTGAAGTGAAGTGGAGATTTTCTTGTATTTTATGGAACACGCGCTCGAATTAATGAGTATAATATACCACTTGATTATGACTACATTCAAATTTTTTGATTGTTTTGATAATTTTCTCAATCAGTGAACAAACATGAAAAGCATGTCCAACGTCTTTGAACAAAGAAATTCGAACAATTACGCTTGAGAATGGTGCGTAATCGTTTCGACTTTCGATGAAGCAAAGATGATGACGTAAAGATATTTTAACTTTTAATATTTTATATTTTTACTTTCAATTTCAATGAAAAACCCTTTGAAAAATGTTGTCAACATGAATTGTCTATTTCTTTTCAAAAGATTGCCACAACAGACTTTAAAGCTGTACATTTTATGCTAATCAGTACTTTGTACAACCCTATCTGTTAGCCAACCATATTGCCTTTAGTATTTTGTTCGTATGGTAATACTATAGACACCTGGTGAAGTGCATTGATTCCGTCCTAGAACTGGATCAAAATTAATTCACCTCAGTGATTTATTCGTATGAGATGTCACATGAAATCCGACAATTCGGACATTACTGGATTGTGAATTTCTTGCAGTTAATTCAGTCCTCGTCTTCGCACCTGATATATTACGTACAATACGTTTACTTGATGTTTTTGATGTTTTTCTCCATTGTAGCCAAGAAGAGCATCGCACGTTGCTTAGTCAGTGGATTATGGATATCCCTGAAAGTTTTCATGAATTAGATTTACTTGAGCCGATATTGTCACTTCGAACTATACTACTGCAAGAACTTCTTCCACTGTCTCAAAATGATCCCACAGCGGTGGAGCTAAGACAGTGTTTATTACCTGCACTCATACAGCATTGTGAAATGGTCTCCAAGCTCGCAAGACATGCTGGCTGTTACCAAGTAAGAATAACTACAACTAGATAATTGTTTTCTCTCTAAACATTCTGGACGGTCAAAATTGAATATGAATATGAAGAAATATTTGGTTTAAAAGTAAGAAGGAATTTTTGAACCCAGATAAATATGAGATCATAATGTTTGAGAAACAGATAAATAAATTTAATAAGTGTAAATATATTTTATAAATGTGTGGGTTTTTTTCACTTTGCTATAGGACAGGGTTCGTACAAATTCTTGAAAGTCTTGTTTTCGTCTTTGGGTATTTTTTGAAATTTGGTTGACATTAAAAAACGGATTCTTACACGAAAGCTGTTCAAAATTAATTAAAATTGCAGTTAACATCACATTTACTGATTTCGCCTGCTCAGCCCGTCCGTTAAAATACTTAACTTGTGGCGTTATTTCACGCTGTAACAGGCTAATGATTTGGATTCTTGCACTTCACTTGGTGGAATTAACATTAGAATGTTAGGGTTTGTAATCCAAGTGAGTATATATACATTTTGGGACCTAACCAGGAACGACTGCGAAAAATGCAGCACAAGGTCCTCTGGTAGACCAGAGGACCTTGTGCTGCATTTTTCGCAGTCGTTCCTGGTTAGGTCTTAAAATGTATATATACTCACTTGGATTACAAACCCTAACATTCTAAATGTAACAGGCTAACCCTGCTATGTTTTCGAGAGCAGTTGTGATGGAATCGAAGTTGCTGGCTTGCAATTGCGGTGCAGCACTTTGACCACTGAACGACAGAATGCATGAACTGCAGTGTAATCCAGTGTGCGTGTGTGTAAGGAGAAATATTAAATATTTTGGGCTTCTCGTTCGACTATCTGGGGCTCTGTGAGCAGCACTCTGTTCTGTTGATCGAGATTTCCGAGATATAGAACATTGCCCGACTAGGACTGATAATTCTTTGTCTTCATTTCTTACAGTACATATCTTACAGTACATGTCTTACAATACATATCTTACAAAGAGAATGCAGTTGGAATTTTTTGTTCTTCTCACATTCCAGATTTCAGAGAAGTCAATAGCGACGTTGAAAGATATCAAAACAGGCGAAAATAATTTAACATCAAGTTTTTCGTGGAAGATTGAGGAAGCCAAAGTGTTTTGGTTTCAAGGCGAACAAGAGACTGCCATGCATCAGTTAAAACAAATCAACGTCAGTCTAAAAGTAAGATTATATATGATCTGCATTGTTATCAAGTGATGTTTCTGGGGTTTTTTCCTCCAAAATATGTTATAATGCTTCCGAAATATACATTAATGCCTCTAGTAAAATAGTAAGGAAGTGGGGTGTGCTAAGAGCTACCTTACTTGCAGCTGAGAGCTAAGCTGAATTGCACGAAGGACACAACTCGACCTGATCGAGTCGAAGTCTTAATAAGAGCGCCTTTGTCAGCAAACTTAAGACTCGTATCTGATCATATAGAGCTTGTGTGTACGGTGGAAGGGACAGTTTGGAGGTTGTCCCAACCTGTCAACATTCTCTGTGGGACGAAACCGCAGCACCCGGAGAAAACCCACGGCTGGGGTGGACCTTTGACCTGACTCTTTTCACCTAAGACTGCTAAGTGTCATGAGCTAGTCTGCATGCAGGAGAATCGAGCCCACGATCTTAGAGGCGAAAGGCGCTTGCTCTGACGATTGAGCCAAGATTGTTGTCACTGTTGTTTCAACAGAATTTTAATTGCATGTGCAAAATTCATGTTACATTTTTACTTTCAAGAATGATGCTAAGAGTTCCAAGCTGTTATATGCACAAACATTAGGTCTTTATGGCAGTTGGTTGGCAGAAACACGCTCTGAAAATCCAAACACCATTATGGAGAAATACTTGGATAAGGTAGTGTACTTGTAGTATGTGGAATAAAGATGATGACCATAGACCTTTTTAAAAAGTCTGCCTTGTGACGTAATTTGTGGATAAATACGATCATTTGACCAATCAGGCAAGCGAAATGGCTGTGCGGGGTTTTCCTTTATCCGCAAACTACGTCACAAGGCAGACATTTTAAAAAGGTTTATTCAATTTGAAATATGTACAGCATATACCAATACAATTCGAAACATGTTCACAATAAGATTAAAGTAACGATGTGTTTTATTTTGTTCTGTACTAAATTTACCAACCAGTTCTGGTATTTATTTATCGATATTTATTTTCTTTTGCTCTTTTTTACCCTTAATGGAACCATTGGAAATTTATTTGAAATTTACAATGGAAAGCACAAGTTTATAACAGTTTTGGGAACAAAATAAAAACATTCCCAAGGCATTGAGAATAGATTTCTGTTGAAAAGTTACCCAGAATTCTTCTGTGTGGCAGAAGTAGTTAACTACCAAGATCACGTGGCCTGCTACATGCACTTGTATGTCCGTCTCATCGAAATCATTTCGTTTTCGTTGTGACAGGCTGTTGAACTGGTGGAGTCATGCAGTGATAAACAAGAGTCTTCAATTGAGGCAAGTTATAGTAGTATTATATCATTCTCCACAATAACAGCGTTAAGCTCAAGACGTTAATAGCGGAAATGACGTTTTTCAATTGTTTTGGATTATGTACTTTTAAACAGGATATCAGTAATTTTAACATGCGTCTCAGTGAGACGATCTCACGGCTGGTACTGAGGTTAATTGTAAGAAGGTCGGATAGTGTTATCCACCAGATATTGATTTTTTCCAGCGTTATAATAATGCCTGAAAAACTATAAAACTTCAGATTTGGTGGTACAGTACAAATTGATTAAAACAACCAACAAATGTATTGTCCCAGTTTCATTATGAATCTGAAATGACCAATTTACTGGTTGTTTTAACCAATTTGTATTTACAGTCAATACAGTGTACTTCCACACACACTTGGTTTGTTGTCATATCTACCGCTCAGTTGTCGCTTTTTAATCTTAATGGCGTTTTACAAATTTTGTTCATTTAGGCATTTTTGTCCCTTGCACGATTTGCTGATAGTCAATACAAGAATATTCAGGATTACATGAAGTCCTGGGCATTCGAAAACAAGCGTTCAATAATGAATAAGTTAAAGGTACAGTAACTTGAATAGAAATAAGAAATATTTTATTCTGTTATTCTTTTTATTAATCTCAAAATCGCTTTTGAAATCCGAGAACTTCCCAACAGTCATAACTAAAACATGATAGTCATTTTTTCATCCTTTATAAAAGCATCGCCGGATTTTGAAGGAATAAGGCGTGGTGTCGTGCACACCTCCCCAGAGATCGTTTTGCATCTCCCTGAAAGTCATGAACTTCCCCTTGGGAAAGTTCAAAGTATTTTGATAGATCAAAGTGAAAATTTGACAATTTTTTATGTGTTGCTTAGAGTCTACACTTCGTAAGAACGTTTTTCTGTGAAATTGAAACAGTGATAGCCATTCCTCTCTGTGTCAAGTACCCTTTTAATGCATGTTTCGAAAGAAACTTTGTAGTGATGTAATGAGGGGTAAAATTGGATGAGTCGTACCGTCATAATTCATTAATACACTGATACATATGTACAGTACATGCATACGTCATGTAGTTGACTTCAGTGGAGGGTATATGTTCTAAACCCTAACTTTAGTCGTACATCAGATCTCTATAGCTACTTTAATTGGTTCATCTCGTTCGTATTTGTTTTTGCGTGATTTCTATTTGTTGATGTTTGAACCATAGTCTGAGGTAGCAAATCTTAAAGAACATGGAGTGGAGAAAGGACGTTATTTGCGAGAATTGAGTGTACAAAGCCAGTCAGATGAACAGGAATTGACACAAATGAAAGAAGATCGTCTTAAATATCTGCAGAAAGCTGTGAGGAATTACATCAGATGTCTTCAAGTTGGAGTAAGTGCATTTTTGGTGTTGTAGTGGAAGCACCTCTCATTTTCTGGAAATGACCAGACATTTCATGCTAGACGTTCAAATTATCCCTTAAAACTGCATGATTGCTATTATTTCTAACAAGCATATACCATTGGAAAAGGTATTGAAAGCTTTGAAATAATAAAGAAACGTGATTTTCTCTTCAAAACAAATAATGGACCAGAATTTATACATTTTTACTTTTTGTGTAGCTGGGCGTAACGAACGTCAGACAAACAACGGACATATCCAACTGATATTTTTCTTTGTCTTTTAGGGAAAATATGATCTACAAATTTTTAGAATTTGTTCACTTTGGATGGAAAATTCCACAGATGATACTATAAACAAAATTGTTGAGGTAAAATATTAATGCATGTACAGTATTAACTTGTCGTTATGATTAAGCATTAATCCAAACCTTTCTTTGTATTGATTTGATGTTCAAACCTGTGTTTCTGTATCCTGTGTCAAACCTGTGCTTCTGTATCCTGTGTGCAGAGGTTTTCTCGTTTCAGACGAAGGTGGCTTGATACAATTTTTGTGGAACATTCACGATTTAGATCCGTATTTTTGGGACAATTATTACTTGTTGAAAAACAAAATGTATTTCACTGATGTAAAACAACACCTAAAGGGTTCGAATTTTTTCACAAAAGTTACCAACAATGTCGTTTCAAAGTGGTGGATATTTTCCCTTTAAAGTAATTTAACTCGTAAACGACATTGTAACCCCGATTTTTATTTTATAAAATAATTTCTTTTAGTATATACTCAATTATTTTGATAATTTTAAATAAATTATCTTGAGTTAAAAAACATTATTATGAATAATCACATTTACGCAATTTGAAAAATTTTGGTTCAACAGAATTTTTTTTAATTGTCAAAATAATTGAGTATCCTAAAATGAAATAAAAATTGGGGTCACTGATATCGTTTACGAGTTAAATTACTTTAAAGACAAATTGCGTAATTTTTGTGAAAACCCTTTACATGTTGTTTTACATCAGTAAGATACGTTTTGTTCTCAAAAAAATACGAATCTAAATCGTGAATTTTCCATTTTTAAAAAACTATATCGAGCCACCTTAAGGCAAGGCCACTCTGCGCCTGAGTGCAGGCTACAGATTCACAAAACAGGAAACCCCTTGATTCAAGGTTTTTGTTGTACGAGGTAAATTTGGTTGGAGGTGGTTATATTTTGGTACTTTGGAAGTAGTCTGGAAATTTGGTCTTAAAGGTTGTGACTATACATACGATGGTATCCCAACCTTCAGACAACTTTAGTCCATTGAGCTCTATATATATCTGAATCGAGAACTTGAGTCATGCGGCCTATAAGAAAAGTGAAGTCAAGATGACGAAATTGACATCCAATAGCTATGAAGGTCGTAGACAGTTTTAATACCATTTCCCCAGCTAATTCCAGTTCTTTCTCATGGAGCGTATCGCTAAACAAGTTACCAGTTCATAAAAGTTAAATCGATGTCAAAATGCTAAATTTCGTTACACTCCTTGCAAAAACAATAGAAAAGTGAGTGGAACTGACGTCCAATAGCTACATCTTGGTTTTGCTTTTTGAACTCGAGTTCTCACTCCAGATATATGTGGAGCTCACTCGGTGAGTTTTGACTAAAATATACATGATTGTGTATAATTCGATGTAGAGTAAGAACGTTAAGCTTAAGTATCGTGCACTCCATATTTCTTTACAGGAAGGAGTATTTTCACAAGGTGGCAAAATGTCGGTGGAGTCACGAAAGTTTATTCCGCTCATGTATCAGTTGGCAGCTCGACTAGAAGCGAAGACGCAGGAAAATGGGTTGTTTCAGAACATAATGAGCAAGGTAATATAGTTTCTGTGTTTTGGTCCATTAGGTTACATTGTTATCAAATGCAGTTCATAAATAAAAAGCATGTTGAGAATTGCAGATAGTTACACAAACTAAGACGCCTTACCTCTGCCATCTCAGTTACAAAAACAAAAGGAAAACAGAGGCAAAATGAGATGAATGGGAAAGGCTAAAGACAAGTGCCTTGCGGATAGCTCCCTCTCGGTATTACGCACTTGGTTAATGTCGCATCATGAACCATGACCAAAGCTCGTTGAGCACCCCGCCCTCCCATCTCCCCCCTCCCTCCCCTCTTCCAATCCCCACTACTAACATCTGGCTTAATCCATCCCAGTCACAGAGTCTTATAAATCAATGATTGAACTGAAAACACGGCAAGTTGAATTTTTTAAACAACGCACGCGTGCGAAGTTAATATCGGTTTCAAAACAGACTTACTTAAAAAACTTATGTATCCCGAATACACCTTTCCTTCCGTAAGGACGTCACTTTGGTTATAAAGCCTCGTTTTCGTGTATGTGACTTTACTTAAAGCCCACGTTTCAATGACGAAAACGAGGCTCTATAGCCAAGGTTCCGTACTTTTCGGAAGCATGAATTGGGTCAAATATAGCCACACAGTATCGTAAACTATGACAAAGTCAAATTTTCCCATCATTTGTAGTTGATATGTCAAGCAGCTGTGGAACACCCGTATCACGTGATCTGGATAATATTAGCATTGATTAACGCAGATAAAGATAGTAAATATTTAACTTCCGGTGGAGGAAAGAAAAGTGGCAGGTTATCTAAGAAATCTAACCAACAACCTGTGGACAGTTACATTGACCAGGTAAGGTCTTGGAATTACGAAATTCTTCCATGTAAAACTAAAATTAAATATTAATTATGATGAATTACCTTTGTCATATATATTTTACGTTAATAATTCCCTTTTTTATTCATCGAATTTTAACACGCAAAATAAACAACTGATTGTCTAGCCAGTTAAACCCAACATAAGGCATTGAACGTGGCTAGCTAACAGGGATTAAAGTTAACAAAACGCCTGCTGAGGCATTCACACTGGCCTCAAAATGACAACTTGTGCGGTAGAGGGTAATGGCTGTATTCTAAAAGGTCACTCACACTCAATGAGTGTAGGTTCTATCTGAGCTTCTCTTGAGTGTCAATGCTGTTTTTGAATAGCTGGAAGGTGAGTAGTCTCATAGTAAGGTATATGACACTAACCCTCCAGCTATTCAAAAACAGCAATGACACTCGAGAGAAGCTCAGATTGAACTTCCATTCAGTGAGTGTGAGTGAGCTTTTAGAATACAGGCGTAAATGTGTACGACATCTTTATAGGCGTTTTCTAATTTTGTAGTACGGCCAATTTCTCCAACTGCAAAGCCCAATTGAAAACATAAAGAAGTTTATAGTTGTTTATGAAAACATCAACAACGTCAATACCAGTGGGATACTGTATCCTCCAATCTCACCTTTTTGTAATCCTAGATTATTGAATCAAGCTTATAATATATACAGACAATACAATACAGTATATTATACATAGTAGTTTTTATAGAAGTTTTCTTCGATTTCCAGTTTGGAATATTGAAGATTTGTGCAGTGAACTTAATGATACAGAACTGATTTCAAAATTACAATATTTTGATTTAATTAATCTCCTAGTGAAAATTACAGATTGGTATCTAACGTACGAGTCATATTGCTAATCAAAGTATTTATGTATTGTGCAGGACCGTGTGAAGGCCGCTCTTCATGTAATTGAAAACGTTCGCAAATCACGATCAGCTATAGTCTCCGCAATGGAGAAACTGAGTGAAGCCTACATTGAGTTGGCTTATTATGATGTGTCGCAGCACAAGAATCAAACAGGTAAAATGGTTAAAAATAGTACTTTGTAGTTTAATGAAAGCTATCTTGGTTTGCACCCCAATGACGTCTCCTTCAGAACCATCTTCGAGATACGTTTAAATCCGTTGAGAAACTGAGGGGCGGGGGGGGGACGCTTACCCGATTTCATGTCCAGCTTATTATTCGCAATCTAATAACTGAAGACGCAGGCATTCTTGACATAATTATGATGTTATAATCTTCTGAATTTTGTAAAATCTCACCCCAAAATGCATGAAATGGCGTTTCAGAGGCTCTAAATTTCAAAATTGCCCCCGGACCTCCCTACAGTGTCCGCGCCTTTGGCGCTCAACTTGTACCACCCCCCTCCCTCCCCCCCACTTTGTAAACCCTGGCTACGCCACCGATACTAACAAAAGAATGTCATTAACAGCTGTTGTATTTGGTGAATGGTTTTGTGGATGGCGAGTGTGGATTTTATACAAAACCCTTCTACTAATTAGTTAATCGAGTGTAGATGCCCCAAATCCTGATATTGTATTTGGAGCTCTGTGTTTGGAGCGTGTTTTCCTCCAACATGGCCTCTCTGTATACATGCTAGTCTCAAAGGATTGATTGCAATTTACCAATATGTGAATTTTTAATGTGTTCAATTCATTCAAAAGGATATATTTGTGTGAGTACAGTAGAAGTTGTGTTGATGTTTTTATCACTGTTCACTTTGCAATAGTAAAGTAGGCTTGTTTCTAATATTGTGACTGTGTAATACTGTATTTCAGGTCCATTATCTATGCCAGATGTGACTTTAAAACGGATTACCAATCTAAACAACGTTGCTTTACCTACAGTAGACATCCAGGTACATTAATGTCACTTCAAATGCATGGTGACAGTAGCCTGCTCATAGAGCCTGCGTAGCAGGCTATGGTGACAGCAATATTGCTAATTGTCCAAATTTTGGAATTGGACATATTGCACTTTAATACGTGTATGAAGAGAATGTTAAAATTAACATATGTACCTGCCAAAGCTAAGATCAATCACAAAGGCAAAGGACTGTGTAACGAGCGCACACGGTTCTGACAAACGGCTTTGCCAGTTGGACCGTAACGATTGTTAGCGGTAACGGCTGATCAAGACTCTGAGCGCAATATCGTCAGGTTGTGAATGGAATTTGTTTATTTGTAATTTGTTTGGAGACGAGGAGCCAAATCGTGTCCGAAGTAGTAAAATTAAATGCGAATATTTGGCGATAGGTCGGTATTCAAATCAATTAAACATCATAAGGCCCATCTACACGATACGACCAGTCTTCCACGATTCTCATCCTGGCGTATGTACTCGAAGAAATGCGTGTAAGGGTGTCACATTTCAAATTTCGCCGTAAACTGATGAACAGGAATAGTGGTGTCTGCAGTCGTTTCCATACGCCAGATTGACAATCGTATATGACTAGCATCGTGTAAATGGGCCTATATGGTTAGAATTTTGTATAACAAATTTTATATCTTAAGCTAGAATGACCCTATATATACCCAAACACACCCGAAGTCCAGATTGCCTTACATTAGACCAGTTAACTGATCAGTTAGCATATTTCATCTAACTCCACAATTCCTTAATAAGCACTGTTTTACAGATTGATCCAAGCTGTCGCTATGAAAACATCATTTCCATTTCAAAATTTGAACCGAAGTACCATTTGTGTGGAGGAATCAATTTGCCAAAAATTTTGCTTTGTGTTGGCTCAGACGGCATAAAACGTAGACAGTTGATAAAGGTAATGTTATTTTCTTTCTTAATTCTTTAATTTAAACAATTTATAATATAATATAATACAATTCTCATTAAACATGCCTTAAACATGTTAGACATGGCGAAAACAATGGTCTGACGTAATGCGTGTTCAGTTTAACTGTGGACAGCCTTTTGAATTTAAGTTAGCCTGCGTAGCAGCCGTTTTTTGGGGGAAGGATTTATGGCCGAGAGAATTAAGTCGGGGGAACCGTAGATATAATAAATATCGTTTATTTCTATGGGGAGAACGCGCTGGCGAGAGAACGCTTAATTTTCCCGGCTGCAAATTCTCCCACACAATTCACACTCGAAATTTCTAGGTAGGCTACAAAACCGTAGTACAAGTCGTCATGTCGAGTGTAGATGCCCCAAATTCTAGTAAGTTCATTACCATGATATCAAGACAACAATGCGACAAGGATTTCCTTTGTGTTTTCTTCGTGAATTATTAATAAAGTTATTAGTTACCCCTCAGATTCATTTATTACTATCACCCCTCAGATTGATATTTACATCTTTTGTTTCAAGGGAAAGGATGATTTGCGTCAAGATGCAGTTATGCAGCAAGTGTTTGGAATGGTGAACACTTTATTACAGAAGAATGTGGAGACCAGAAAACGTAATTTAAAAATACGGACATACAAGGTAAATGACGTTATTTTTATTTCATATGCATTATGTGTATTCTGACCTTGTGTTTTCCCAAGAAGCATGCACTAGCCGAAAATACAACTGTAATGTTGAAAGTTGACCATTTTTTAAACTAACCTAATTCATATTTAGTTGGTGATGAACCATTCAACCTTCGAAGCGGTCATTTGAGCAACACTATAGCCTATATAACCACCGAAAACAGATACTTGAAAAATAACAACATCAACAAACAATGACAACAACAACAACAACAACAACAACAACAACAACAACAACAACAACAACAACAACAACAACAACAACAACAACAACAACAACAACAACAACAACAACTATACGACAAAAATAACTTTATTCAACTAAAACAATAACTTGAACCTATGTTTTGCTTTGTGTCAATTTTCTATATAAGGTTGTTCCATTATCTCAACGTAGTGGTTTAGTAGAATGGTGTGAGGATACAACGCCATTAGGAAATTATCTTATTGGAGGGCAAGGGAAAAAGAATCTTGGTGCACATGAAAGATATTATCCTCGGGATTTGTCTTCACTGGACTGTAGGAAGAAAATGCAGGTTTGTATATTCAGTCGCCGTTGATGACTGGAACCGAGTGTTAAAAAGTGAAAGAGCAGCTCACTATTAATAGTATACAAAGTTTGACCGCATTTGGTTAAATACAGTATGAATGTGTGTGGAGTTTTGAAGTTTTTCGGGGCGCACAATATATTTTAGAGTAACTATTTTCCCACTTTTTGATGGCTTGTTATTCGTACAGTATATGTATCCAAATGTGGTCAAGATTTGTGAACCTAATCATTTTAGCTGATTATTTCCAGTGGTTCATTTCCCCTTTTAACACTCGGAAATCCCCAAAACAGCTGCTTTAAAACATTTCAATGTTTCCATGCAGAACTTGTAGTGTACTGAAATCCAGGTATCAAAGTCCAATTTGAACTTCCAGTCATTGTGTCTTCAAAGTGGCGTTTAGACTTCACTATAGTTGCCACAGAAGAAACATCAAAAGGCATCTCAGAGAGTGGACCCTTACACAGTAACCCCCATGTCGCAGAGAATGAAGCAATTATTGCTATATGTACTGTATAAAATTTATTTTAGGTTGTAAAATGGTGATAAATGTTGTCATATAATTTATATACATATGTATGTATGGGAATTATATTAGGGAGGTATAGGTGACATTAAATTTTACCATCAGTTTTGTATAATTATTGTAGGTTGTCGACCGTACCAATGTTAATCAAAAGTGTAAAGTATACAAGGTAAGTTGACAAGTTCAGGAGTACACTCATGCAGGGGAGGTTGTACAAATCAAGCTAAATAGCGCTAATCGCCTGGGGCCGGCATCAAACTCGCGTATTGTAGAGTTAACTACTATTTAATTATTGTTAAAAAGTAGTTCAGAATTTCATACAACCGGCTCCTCATGATGGTGCATTTTTTCAACCATCGTCAAGCTGCGGAAGTACGAATATCGGCCCGCAATATTCGGTATGTAGAAAATATTAAACACTATAAACATTAAACTGGGTTATACCGATCAATATACGACCAATTTTAGAAATCTTGAAAAAATAGAACTATCGGTTGATATCGCCATCTGGCTTTCGTACAACTAGCCCGTGTGAGGTAAATAGTAATGGCTTTATTGGCATGACCTCCTTAACATAATAGCAGCTCTGCCAAGCTTGTATCGCAACCTGGAGATGCTTGGAAATGAAACGATTGACTATATTTACAGTTGAGAAAGCTTCGGATTAATAGGGATACAACTACCTGAAAAATGCAAGGAGAACTTCAATTGAACTTATAGTATTTTTCAAGTAGTTGTATTCCTATCAATCCCTTTCTTATTACTGCCACTACCTACACTAGCCGTTCAAGATTATATTTACAGTTGAAGTAATTTTATTGTTTGTCTAATATGATGAAGTAAAATTTCAAATTTGTAAATGTACTGCTTATTATCAGCATGAGTTATGTAATGAATATTTTAATTTCCAGGAAGTAATGTCTCGATTCCATCCAGTCTTCAGACATTTCTTTTTGGAGAAATTTCCAGATCCATCACTATGGTTTGAGAAACGTCTTGCATACACAAGAAGTGTGGCCACCGCTTCCATAGGTACGTTTTCAGTGGCGTCAAAACTTGACAAACTTCGCACTTGGTCTAAAAAATTTGCATTTTTGTCACCAAGAGTTTCCAAAATTTTAGAAACTTACCTCATCTTTAGTACTGCAGTCTGTTACATATTTATTTCATCTACACAGAGCACTTACTACACATCGAGGTATAATACCGCTCTCAAACAATCAGCCCCACGTTTATAAAGTTGTAGTTATAATAGTTTTTATATAACACCTTATTAAAATGTGGTAAATTAGTAGGCTGATTATAATCACGTGGTATTGAATGAAAATTCCCATTTTACAGCCGTGCATTTTTTACTATATGTTTCGTTCCATTGTTTGGTTTTCATGAAAACTAACTTCATTAACTCGGCTGTCGCCTCGTGAATGGAAAACTCCATCTTTCACCTCATGAAAATATTCTTACCATTGCAATCATAACTTTATTATATTTATTGTGTTATTAGTTGGTTATATTGTGGGCCTTGGTGATCGTCATGTCCAAAACATCTTGATCGATTGCAATACTGCAGAGTTGATTCATATTGATTTAGGTGAGTTTAACACTTTATGGAATATTATGATATGGAATACAATAATTTTAAAATAAATTTTACAACAAGAACGATTGAACGAAGACTAAATGATCTTATTAAACCCCAATCATAACCCCTTCCCCAATTCATAACCCCAGCCTTAAGCCTGTCCCCAATTCATAGCCCTTTCCCTGACCCCTGTCATAACCCCTTCCCTGATCCTAACCAGTGCCGCAGAGAGGTTGGCGGGGGCCCGGGGCAAATATTTTTTTGGGGGCCCCCTATCCAAAAAAAAAATTCCAGAAAAAAGTTTTTCCGGAGAACAACCTCCCCCCCCCCCGGGCCAAAAATTTTTCGGTCAGTGTACCATTTTAGGGGTAAAAAAAATTTTACGGACTAAAAAATTTTTTCCGGACGAGTACGTTGCTATTGCTTTCCAGGGACTTTATCTCATTTTTTATGCCAAATTTCGGTACTTTTCTCAAGAAAACAGATATCTTGTCCTTTGCGCGGAAATATTTAACACACAAAAAACACTGGGGCCCAACAAAATTTTTTCAGGGGCCCCCAGCACCTCGGGGCCCGGGGCAATTTGCTCCCCCTGCCTCGGCGGCCCTGATCCTAACCTCAATCAGAACCCTTTCCCTAACTCCAATCATAATCCAACTCTGACCCCAATCATAATCCCTAACCCTGACCTCAATCGTAACTTCTTTCCTGACCCTGTTGTGCGCAAAACATGAGGATATCACCTCCTAATATGGAAAGTCATACAGCCATGATTTCACCACATGCGAGACGTGTTCTTCCAGTTTGCCTCCGACAAACACTATCGGTATTTCTCTTACTACATCTCTAAGGAGAACACTTTAGAGCAACTGTGAACGGAAGAAACACAAATTAATAAAGTCTAGTATTTAATTTTTGTTGTGAAATGACATATTATTTTGCCACCAGGCGTTGCTTTTGAACAAGGGAAAATGCTACCAACCCCAGAGACGGTTCCATTTCGTTTGACGCGAGATTTGGTTGACGGCATGGGTGTCTCAGGTGTTGAGGGGGTGTTTCGAAGATGTTGCCAGAAGACGATGGAAGTGATGAGGACGTCACAAGAAGCTCTACTTACCATCGTGCAGGTTAGAGCACTGAGTTTGTATTTCAATTCTAACGTTCAAACAGGGTGCCGGTTAACCGAGCAGAAATTGTTGCAAGGTTACATTGAATTCCAACGTTCAAACAGGGTGCCGGTTAACCGAGCAGAAATTGTTTCAAGGTTACATGGCAAGTTTCAACCCTGGATGAGTTAAAATTTCAGTTCAACTGGAGTGAAATCTCAACTCGAGATGAAAGTCTCAAAATGGATATATTTCACTTCTTCAAATAATTTGTTCATTTGTGCGAGTTTGTGATTGCATTTTAAAACGGGAGGTTGGTCTGAAACTGTTGTTGTAATCAGCTCTTATACACACATAAATTTCCTGTATTGAACTATTTTATTTCAATTGCAAGGTCCTGCTGTTCGATCCACTATACGTGTGGACGCTGAGTCCTTTGAAGGCAATGTCTTTACAAAGAAAACCTGATATGGATGCTTCGTCTGACGTCACAAGTTCAAGCGTCTTGGAAAGACGTGACAGCTTAGATGAAAGTTCTGTCAACAAGATGGCGGAACGAGTTCTTGTTCGGTTGAGACAAAAACTGGATGGAGTAGAAGATGGGACATTGCTGAGCGTTAAGGGACAAGTGAACCATTTGATACGAGAGGCGAGGGATCCTAAGAATTTGTGCAGGTTATTTCCAGGCTGGCAACCATGGATATAGAGATTCTCAACTTTCGTCAGTAAACATGGCCACTTCATCCTAGTGTCCTTTCTCGTCATTGCCAACGTGTCTCTGATCATTTGTGATCATTGCCAACATCCACAGAACACAACTATACGGCGCAGTACGACTGCCTGATTACCACAAGTACGTGCGCTGTTCGCTATTGGAAAACATGTTTGGCGAAATATTTACAAAAATAAGCAGTTCAACTGGGTTAAATTAATTGACAAACATCCCATTAATTAAACAACCACGACATAAATATAACCATATCTGTATTACTGATAATATAGCAACTTTGGTACTTCGCATACCGTATTCACTCGTTTAAGCGCTGCCCCCGATTAAGCGCCGCATTCACGGTCGGCAAGAGTTGTTCGAGAAGCCCAACCACGGAAGCAAAACGCCCTGGCAATGTTACACTATATGCAACTTCTGTCACAATTTTGCTGGAACGCACGTAAATATCCCCTGCAATCGTCGAGTCTCGCAACAGTTTTGTTGCAGGAAGCATTCCAAAAGCTAGTTCGTCTGGTTCTACAACGACATTGTTTCGCAACAAATTTGCGACTTAACAAGTCTCGGAATTTTTTCCTGTATTTCAGTGTTTTATTTTGTAGCATTTCTTGTCATCGTTTACAAATACAATGTTTTATTAAGAGCACCGCCATCGAATAAGCGCCGCCCTTAAATAAGTGCTGCATCCGAAACACTAAAAATGTAAAGAGCGTGCGGCGCTTAAACGATTTTAAATATACGGTCCTGCACGACTGCGTGAAAACCGTAGATATCTTATATACGCTAGATAGCGCATCTCTTTTAGGAAAATTGAAGCCAAGAATATTCCAGCGGTTACCCCCATTTGAATAGATGGCGGCCATGTTGGTGTTTCCCACTCGCCAATAAACGCTTAAAAACAACAATAACTTTCATCATTTGAATAGTTTAAAAATGTATTTGGAATAGGTTTACCTTAATATTTAAGTTCCGTGTTTAGGAAATAGAAAACATACGAATCTTCTCATTTCATGGGAATATCCAGAGTCTGCAATTACGGCTTCAATTTTTGATCATGAATTGTAGAATAATTAGATGCACTATCTAGTGTAAATAAGATATCTATGGTGAAAACATGGTTGTTTATGAATGCGCACAGGCAAACTGAATAAAGACACTGAAATGACTTCCTACAGAGTAATAAGAAATATATTTAATTTTCTATTTCTAAAAGTTAAGATTTGTACAAATTAGAAGTTTTTTTTAAATTTGATATGTTAAATTTTCCTTTCTTCAGTATGTATCTCCACTGGCTTTTTCGTTGTGTGCTGACAATCGTTCCAAATCATTGTTTCCTAGTTAACATACTCGAAAATCGTGTTATTTTTTTAAGATTTAGGTCTCGATCAAGTTTTTGAAGTTGCACTTTTCTCAATTTTGACAAAGTACTCCATTGTTATTAATATGTACAGCACTTTCTGTTAGGGTCAAATCACCTAGAACGCAGTGTGCTGAAATTTTCATATATGGTAGGCCTAAATGGTATTATAAAATAACTACAGTGAAACACGCAATTTGATTGGTCAATAGCCGTGCAGGATCAGGCTATCCTGCATGCACGAGGATTAAAATGCCTTCGCGGGATTCTCAAAATGTCATTGTTTCACTGTAGTTATTTTATAAAACAATTACCAAATGGTTTTGCAAGCAGAATAGCGTGATCCATGCACTTGGGATATTGCTCGACTTTCGGAAAGCGTAAAAATACACTCGCCTGCGGCTCGAGTAGTTTTACGCTTTTCGAATGTCTCGCGACATCCCGCGTGCATGGATCACGCAATCCTGCATGGAAAACCATTCGGTATTCCTTTAGTACTGGATTGTTATACGAACCATAGACGGAGGATAGTTGCTTATGATTGTTGTCAATAATGCACGAGGGTGGGGCATTTGCATTATCGTGTGATGTTTTCTTGCCCAAATCACAAATGTGAAATGCCTGACAAGTATAGGCATGTCCCGATTGTGCTCGGCAACTTTAATTGCATTCCACCACGATTTCGGGTTACTGCTTCTTAAACGTCTAATTTTCTTATCATATAGAATGATTTCTTTATCTCATTAGATACTTTGTGGCGTAGCGATCTAAATTTATAAAATAATGCAAAATTATATGGCAGCTAGTTTTCAATTCAGTCAATAGTCAATACACATCTGATTGGTTAAATCGGTACATTAAACCAGTTTAAACGAGAGGGTCCACGAAATGGTCCACTGGTCTAGTCCACTTGTCTAATCCACTGGTCTAGTCCACGGATCAAGTCCACGAAGGCAGTCCGTGGACCTCATGAGGTCCGCGTTTTGTCGTTTCCTGTGCGGAGTGCGTTTACAGAGTCTGTCTAACGTTATTATAATCACACTTTAATGTGATAATCTTGACTCTATAGGTAGAAAATTTCAAAGTTCAAATAGCTGAATAACGGAAAGCTCGTGCAAAAATCCTTGTATATTTATATCACGGTTTAATTCGCTCGTGGAATGTAAGTTTGTGGATATGCAAATTTTCTTGTTGTGTGCATGCTGACAAATGACAAAGACATGCAGTCATTCAAGTCACGCGTTATCAACGAGCTATCACAATCAGACATAATAGTATACTAGTTATAAAGAACAGTTTAATATACCGTATTAGGAGCAAGGCATGCGAAGAACTTGTCCCTTATTGAGTTTGGCAAATTTGAAATTCAGCTGCTCAAACCATTAGGTAAGTAAATTTTATCATTTGGTACAAAGTCATAAAGCTATGCATGGTTGACAAAGACGACACTGTCGTTTCAGACAGTCGGGTATTATAGCAATCTGTTGAGTATTAGACCGGTATTTGTAGCAATCAGTTGAGTGTCTATCTGTTTGGTAGCGCATAAGAAAGCAATAATTCATCATTATAACCCTCAAAGGCAATGATAACATAAAATAGCAACAATTTAACAAAATATAGTGTGAGCATACAGTCTCACTACAGTGTAGCTAATAAACCAAAACATATTAAGTTACAAGTCATTCGATGCTTTAGTTTTCTAGCATTCTCTAGAATTTATATTTAGTAGCACTGCAGTCTGCAATGCAACTAGTTGGCTTCACTAAGACTACGATCACCTCGCCAGTTGCCTAGTCCGCAAATGGTGGCCCACGTTTAATTTGTGTCTCACTTCTTGTTAGCATAATATGGCCTCAGCCATATTATCTATCACTATCAGTAGATTAATTAAAGTTTTAAAATATAGTCGACTTAGTTTTCTTTATGTCTGTCTTTAATAATAGTGGTTTTGGTGTGATATATAATTATATAAAACATCTAACAGATCCATAAGAAACGGCCAGAGTTTATAGATATAGTATTTTATGGTATATTGCCGAGGGCAGCGGGTGGCGGATGATCTCAACGGGTGACGGATAACTGGTGACGCGTGACTTACACAAAAAATTGTGTTTTGACCAATTGTGTTTTGACCAGTCGTGTTTCAAGATCAGTAATTTACGGTATAATTTACCTCAGTCATTTGTTATCCTGCAGCTCTGAACTGCTTGGAAATATCACCGTATTTACGTATTATGTTCACATTTTAGCGTCAACTAAGAAAAAATTGTGAGTGATTAGAAGGTGAAAACATACTAAGAAATAGTATTGGAGGGAATTCATTTAAATAAAATATTTTAACCTAAACAACAAACAGAACACGCGAAACGTTCGTTAACTAAAGTATCAACACACAAATTTCCCAATGTAATTCTATGATCATAAATAGATTAATATAAATGGGTGCAAAATGTTACCTGTCACTCGCCACCCGCGCAAAATATATTGTATATATTAATATCATAGGAACAAGAGAACATGGTGAAAGTTTTGAAGAGACATTTTGAATTGAACACCGCGGGAACAGAAATAGTCATTGCCGAAATAATCCAACTAATACAACTAATATTGCCTGCAAATCTAATTGAATCACACTATCGGTTGGATTTACCTGTTTTTTATGTTATGCAAAGGCCCATACTATATTATCTTGTATCTCACCTCGACACATATACGTAAGAAAAATTCATATTATGGTACAAGAATGTTAAATGATAATAAACGTTTGGCAAGAAAGAATTGATGAAGAAATAACATCATGTTTCAATATTTCTCATTTAATTCACAGGAATTCAAGTATGAGTGAAAGCGTAAAGGCTTTAGGTAGGTTCAAATACTTCAAAATTACTATGTGAACATCTAGTGAAATGATAACATCACTTTAAGTTGAAAAAACAATATAATTAGACAAATATTGTTACTTCATAGTAAGTTTATGAACAATTACTTCAATATAAAGCTGTGTCAATATCCCTAATTCAAGCTTGCAATTGATGAAAGTTTTTTTGCAGTTTCTATACCCTGGTTCCATGAGAGGTTTATTTTCATTACATATAATATTAGCAATCGCGAAGTGAAAATAATCCTCTGGTTAAGAAAGCGTCAATAATCGCGCTATCGACATCCTATTAACAACTAACCAACGAGAACACACTTGACACGTGACAAGTTTTGAACTGAACCAATCATAGAGCTTTTTGTGTAATTATCCAATCAGAAGACAAAGTCAGAATCTGACCCTAGTAGTTTTAAGATTGCCGCGGTGCGATCAATCAATTGCTGCTTTCAACAGAGGTTTATTTTCGCCATTTCTAATACTAAAATAAACCTCTGTAACAGGGAACGATCCAATATCTCTATAATTGCATCATCTGTTTCATAATTCTGACCGTGGTCTTAATCTTTCATGTTTTATTCCTCAAACACCGTTTATCATGGACTTCACTAAAATCATGCTTTGTGACAATAGTGATCACTTATTCTTCTTTAGGTCTTGTATGCTGTGCAATTTTACTCATTGCCACATGTATTGTGGTGCCAATCTCAATGATTGTTATCGGTAAGTAGTTCTTTAATAGTTTCATGGATGAATTGCATCTGTTTCTGAATGTTTTTATTATTTTTATTGCGTCCTCGTTGGAGCTTCGGTGGCGAAGTGGTTAGCGCACTTGCCTTTCACCTCTAAGGCTGCAAGTTCAAGCCTCAGTGAGAACTTTCTTAATGCGACTAGAACCCAGTCCTCATGTGAAAAGAGTAAGAGTCAACGCTCTGACGAAAGTCGTGGGTTTTCTCTGGGTACTCTGGTTTCCTCCCACAGGGAAAGTTGACAGAGTGGGTTAGATAAAAGCGCCCACAGTAATTGGCATATGCTGTTGTGATGACCCTGCCCTAGTTGGCAAAGCTAAATAAAAAAATAAATAAATAAAAATAAATAGTTAGTGAAGTTGTAAAATAAAAACTCCCGCTGGCGTCATGTTGTTCAAATTTTTGGGTGGTAAAATTTCATATCACTATCTATTGTAACAATAATACTGCAAAATTAATATAATTTAATCAGCAATGATTTCTTTCAAGATTCAGTCGGTGACTCAGTGTTAAACATGCACTTAATTACATCCCTCAAACATTTCTTACAAATCCTTCAAAACTTAGAATGCCTTATTGTTGACAGCGTTTAAAATGTTGTTAGTTTCTTAAAAGATTAAAATGGCTAAGTGAGTGAGAGTAGGTATAGTATTGACTCTCCGGAAGGTAACAAGCACAACAAGCGCACTAAACAATGTATTTTATTCGTTGGTTAGGTGACGTTTACATACATGATTGTCCTATTGAACATGAGATTCCAGTCTGGTTAATTGTATCGGGTGTTGTGGCCTTGTTCCAAGGGTTATTTGCTCCAGCGTTTCGTAATGACGGGAAATCAGAACGAACTTCTGGTCGTCGAATTTTTCAGGCAGTTGGTCTAATTATCAATATTTTTCAAATGGTTTGGTTCATTATTGGAAGTGTCTGGGTTTATGGCAACTACGAACCAAGTTATAATGAAGCTGATGGTGACATGTTTTGTAATGAAACAGTGTATTTGTTTAGTTTCTGGATCTTAAATGTTACCTACATTGGCTTGTGCATCGCTTTATTCGTCTCCATTGGAGTTTCCCTGTATAATAGAGGCCTAAGTTCGTACTAACTTGCTCACGTGAAAAAAGGGGAATTTTCACTTTCTGGTTGTTATATCTTCATTGGTTTGTGTATCATCTACTGGACTGTTCCTTGGTTTGTTTCGAACGTCTCATTTTGCATGTGTCGAATTCAGTGTCTTGAATTATGTGCAAGCAAAACAATTAAATTCAACGTTTCTGATTACGGTCATGTGTCGAATTTAATTTGGTTGGACGTGGCTATAAAGACTTCATGTAATGTTATTGAAATGTCACATGTTGCCAATTCGGAAAAAAAGATCAATCTTGAGATACTTCTATTTTCCGATAAATTCAGGTTTAAAGTAGTCTTACGATATTCTTAAATTACTTTAGCAGTTGTTTGTAATATATTGATCACTACATAACATATAGTTTCTTACTTTCCTAAGAAAGATGCTCTTTGAACGATCTTGAGTATATTCTTTTAAAGATGATGTCTGCGAATTTTGTTTACCTTTTCTGGTTTGCTATATTTGTAAAATATGATATACTAACTGAATATCTAACACTTTTCTGGTTTGCTATATTTGTAAAATATGATATACTAACTGAATATCTAACACTTTTCTGGTTTGCTATGCTCGTAAATGAATATACACTCTACGTTTCAATTAAAAAAAGTTCGAAAGATGCGAACGGAGGAGTGGAAATCATCTTTAAAGTGAATTCTTTATTATATAAATTTAATTCTTTAAACCGTAATATTCTTATAATCTAGATTCTTATATTTCTTAATGTACATCATTCCAGGCAACGCCAGAGCCGAATTAAATTCAATACATGAAATGGGCGTCGAATCTTGCATAGAGTTCGCTCGAATCTAATGCGAATTGTATTCGACAGATGCAAAATGCGACGTTTGAACGAGGCGTAGTACAGGTACCACTGTAACACTCGACCTTAATGGCAAAACTGAAATAGTATAGACCATTTTAGAGTAATTAATCTTCGTAATCCTATAGAAACCTGGTTTTGATATATCGCAATTAATCGCCGATGTTCTCGTGATCCACTGTCGGTGATCAATCAAGAAGAAAATCCTTCCCGACAGACAAAGAATATTATACACCAATGACAATGAAGCTAGTTGAGAATCGCCGATGAATGACAATATATAAAAACGAGGGACTTAACAGTCTTTTCATTTCGCATAGCAGAGAACCGTCCATTGGTGCATGTGTGTGTGATCAGTGGTTCGGAGTATATAAAATATACAGATAATCTCTGCATATTCTTGAAAAGCTTATTATTGTTCCAATTACTAAAATTCTGATCTTACAGAAAATATATGATTTCCAAGAATCCAAGTAGTTTTAACATTTTACTTACTTCAACCTCGTCCCCAGGGTCTTCTAAGAAGACCCTGGGGACGAGGTTGTACTCATAGATATAGGAGATCTAGATTGCTAACGCATACCTAGCGCAGGCGGGGCCTACATGATAAATCCAAGATGGCGGTACAAGAGGGCAAAAAGACTATAGATTCTATTACGAAAATCAAGATTTTTGCATTTTTTGCAGTCGCATTGTTTTGAAACTTATTTGGTCAAATTTTATGGTGAAGAGAAACGTACCGCGAAGATTTTGAGCATATATATGATTGAATTGGATAAAAACTCGCAAAATTATCCAGCGATAAAAGTTCGTGTGAAATGGTCAGTTGGTCAGTTGAAGCGTTTTATTGCCAGAAATACTGTACTATGTTAACATCTAGTCTTGTGAATGGTGTTTTATACTTGCGTCTTTCATCATCATCTGCTCTGTCCTCATAATTATGAAAAATTCACTGTTATGTACCCCCCCCCCCCTCCTTGCTTGTTAGAGAAGTAAACTGATGAGAGCACTGGATAAGGGTCTATCATCTATGGTCTGTTATAATTTGCTTTCTATGCAAATAGTGAGTAAAATTAAAGCAAAACTGTACAAGTTACATATATAGTACTATATCAGTACTATACACGAACTTTTATCGCTGGATAATTTTGCGAGTTTTCATCCAATTCAATCATATATATGCTCAAAATCTTTGCGGTAAGTTTCTCTTTATCATAAAATTTGACCGAATAAGTTTCAAAACAATGCGACGGCAAAAAATGCAAAAATCTTGATTTTCGTAATAGAATCTATAGTCTTTTTGCCCTCTTGTACCGCCATCTTGGATTTATCATGTAGGCCCCGCCTGCGCTAGGTATGCGTTAGCAATCTAGATCTCCTATATCTATGGTTGTACTTACTTGTCTTGACAAGCAAGAGTCGGCACAGGCGGCCTAAACGCTCGTTTACATCTTCCTTTTATCATAATTAATCGTAGATTAATTGTATTATTTTAAACATTTTTAATAAAATTTTCATCTTATTTAAGTCACCAACATTTGTAGTATTCAATTCTATACTCAAAAGAAATGCTTACCTGTGGCTGTAATTTTGATGGTTGCAATACGTTTTAAGTCTGATATACATAATAAATGTATGTATCAGAGATGATTTGTAATTCCACAGAATACGAATTCCATAGTTGTCCCACAAAGGACTGCAATAATGAAAATAGAGTTGCACAAGGATTATATATAGTTCTTGGGAACTCGTATGGTTTTAGCCGTCTAATAATTGGCAATTCCATCGTTTAAGCTGGTAACTCGTGGTACAGGTACATTATTAGTCGAAATAGGCATGCTAGATATTCTGATTTCTAATATTATGTGAAGATCCTACACACGTATGTTTAGGTTTTGTGGGTTGAATTTGCAATTTATTATTTGTCATCCAAAGACTTGCATTTTTAAAATCCTGATTTATTTCAGCTACAAGATGACTACTCTCATGAGTTGATGTCACGTGACCACAAATCAGCCAATCATGTTTGGTGTTCACCCTAGCTATATAACAATGGCATATAAGGAATGGCTAGTACTGTACTACAGTTCAGGCATTCAGGCATATCATTTATATATGATAAAATGAGCAGGGATCCCAGAATAATGCCTTGAGGAACTCCACAAATTATATTTTTTGGAGAACATATCATTCCATTTACCATGCATTATTCTCTACATAAAAATGAAACCATTTTAATTCTTTACCAGAAATACAGAAATTTGTACTCATTTTCATTAACAATATTGCATGAGTTTATGGAATGAAAGACGTAACTATATATACTAGTTACACGCAATTCACAGACTGTAGACTGAACGACACGCAATTCACAGACTGTAGACTGAACGACTAGTGTCAGTGTAGGTAGTTCCAATATTAAGAAAGCTTCGGATTGACAGGGATGCAACTACTTGAAAAATACAAGCCTTACAAGGAGAACTGCGACGTTTCGAGCGAAGGCTCTACTAACTTCCAGACGTTTTTATGAGAACGACTGAGTCAGTAGTTATTGGAAAAGATGTTCAAGGTTGCAGAATAAATATTCTATTTGGCCTAAAAATAGAAATGATTTTAGTTGCCCTAAAAACAGGGAGTGAGATAACATTATTTCGAGTGTGTGTGTGTTTGTGTGTGTGTGTGTGTGTGTGTGTGTGTGTGTGTGTGTGTGTGTGTGTGTGTGTGTGTGTGTGTGTGTGTGTGTGTGGGGGGTGTAACACTCCCAAAGAAAAGTGAAGGAAGGGAGCCCAATATAGCCGGTTCCCCTTATTGCCGCGTATTCTGAGTACAACTACCAGCATGCTTTTCGTTCGGACGTGTCGCATAATGAAGAAAATACCCACAAAGTATCATGGTAGTTGTATTCAGAATAATTATATTATGTTATAAGGGGAACCGGCTATTCACTCAAAGGGGTCCCAAAATGCTGGAATTACGGAACGTGTTAAATATATGTTAAGGAATATTGTGAAAAATGAGATCGAAAAAATTCTGAAAAATGTATTTTTAACCTTCTTTTATCCAAAAAAGGTTTGTGGAAATTTTGGGGGGTTTTATTTGCAGGAAAATGTATACCTTCCCCCTCCAAGACACGTCCCCGGAAAGCAATAAGAACAGTGACTGCCAACTGTTCGCAGGCTGTCAGTAAATTTGTATTTTTCATTGTTATAATGAAATGTACATGAAACAATTGCCAACTCGATTGCTAACACCAAAATTTTTCCTCACATTTTCGCTTGATTATTTTAATGCAGAACACTCCATGATAATATTGATGAACGCATATCAAATTAGAAAGTCTCCGATCATTGGCGATCAATGACAATGAACGTTTTGTTTCTTTATAGTTGACTTAAAAGGAAATTCTTAAAGAAAACATCTGGATCAGTATAATGCCAGGAAACAACTAGCCATATATTTTTGCAGGTACTATAAAGCTAAGCACATTGACCTGTTAAGATATGGTAATTTTGATAACAATTAAATATTGCAAACATTCTTCGTGGTCAAGAACTGTGTCACTTGGCGCCCACCAATATTCGAAATTTAGTTCTATGTCCATCATGGATATCAACTGGGACTTATTTGAACGAAATGTTGCTCTCTCTCATTGACATGGATAAAGTAAGGTCCATTCTATACTGGGATTTAGGGCACAAAATACTGAAATAACTAACCATTTAATCACCGTGTTGTTTCTTTGTTATCACTCACATTTGAATTTTATTAGTAAATTATTAGACCTCCTATTTCTATGTACTAGACCATGTCATGTCATACCATTTGCGACAAGATCCTATTAAAGTTTCAGCAATTAATGTTAATGTGTCAATATGATCATGTATTAAATCGGCGTCTTGACCGGCTCTAGATAAAAAAATGGAAAGTTAAAATATAGCTGAATAATGGAAAGCTCTCGCCGTGTAAATATATTTATTTCATGGTTTAATTCACTTTTGGAATTTAAGCAGTTTGTAGATATGTAAATTTTCCTGTTGCATCGTGTGCTCAGTCACGCATTATCAGTGAAGCAAACATCAGCATACACTTCATGTCGTTTTAGGAGCAAAGCATGTGAAGAACTGTCCCTTCTTGGGTTTGGCAAATCATCATTGAAGTTGTCGCATCAGAACTGCAGTAAACCATTAGCCTTAGCCCTTTAAAGGTAAGTCGTTTTATCATTTGGTCAATGTAGTCTAAGCCATGGGTATAGTCATGTTGAGTTTCATCATTTAATACTTAGTCTTAGACAGTATTTATAGCAATCTGTCAAGTGTCTGTGTTTGTTCGGTTGCGTTTAGCAAGCAATATTCATCTAGTTTATGTACAACAACAATCGACTCACAGGCAATCACAGTCAGATACTGACATTATAATGCCGGTTCACATATACACTACAAATATATACTGACGTTATTGCGACATATACTGCTATACATTCGATACCAAGCATTCATATGCATGACTTATATAGGCCCGGTTTACATGAGATATCGGCACGAAATCAAACCGGAATGAAAATTGAAATTGTCAACATGTTTACATGAGACCGGTACGAAAATCACAAAATTTTCAATTTATTCCCCTTGCCAGGCAATTTCCTTTTTCAGATGGCTTTTTTGTTAGCATGTGTTCAACCGGTCTGAAATGTATATGTTTGTGTTTACATTCATTTCGGTCTGAATTCATGCAGGTGTCCCAGGAATTTCGACCCCCCTCCCCTACAATTTCGCCCCTCAGCTGGGGGGGAATTCCAGTAATATCTCCCTCCCGGGGGGCGAAATTCCTAGGAAATTCGCCCTCCTTTACTAACACTTCACCTTTCCTTTAGTTTAGGATTTTCATCAGCCGTTAATAATTTCGCCCTTCCTGACAGTTGGATAGGATAATTATTACATGGCTTTAATTTAGTCTTTTGAAATCACTATCAATTCAAAATTGTTAAGAATACAAATTTACAATGAGCTACATGTATCGAAAGGGCTTACAGTAGATCACAGCATCCCAAGCTCACATGTTGTTGTTGGGGAATATTTGTATTTTTATATTAGTTTACTGTACTATGACAGAATATATATTGTCAAAAAATGCTAAAATATTGTATTAAATTGAGAAATAAGGTTGCTTACCACTATTACAATGTGTAATTGACTTTTCTGGGTTGATTTGGGGTGAGTCAATACAGAAGCAGTGAATCACTCCAAATCAACCCAGAAAAGTCAATTACACATGTAAGACTTCTAATAGTGGTAAGCAACCTTATTTCTCAATTTAATTCAATATTTTAGCATTTTTTGACAATATATATTCTGTCATAATAAACTAAATAATATAAAAATACAAATATAACCTAACCGGCAACGACATGTGAGCTTAATGGATGCCTGTGAGTAGATTGATAAGACTTATGACGCTTCACTGCACACCATGCATATTTTGCATTTTCAGTGTTAATCCTTAAACTCATTGTTAAAAAGTAATCACCGTGGTGCAGTTATTGTAATTATTGGTAAGCCTATTATTAGTATTATACACTTTAAGATCTACGACGTCGACGTCAGCTAGAAAGTCAGGGCTATGCAGAGGACTGGGACTAGGATGTCGTCCTAATGTAGTCCCAGTCCTCTGCTTAGCCCTGACGTCCTAGCTAACGTCGACGTCGCAGATCTTAAGCTATCTATTGTCAAAACTTGTTTTTTTTAACTGACACATGCATAAAGTATATGTTTTTCTATAATCAAACCATTTAATTTCATTATAAAGAACACTAAAAATCTACTTGTCTCTACCGATGCAGTATCCACAAAATTATTCATTGACATTAGTGAGAATAATTGAATTGGTTAATATAGGTAATTCTTATATACATATAGATGGTGTTTATGGTATTTAGTACTATACCACCACGTACATCAGCCTATGCTAAGCTATAAATTTACTATCGTGTTTATAGATAGAACTGGAAATACGTTTAGTTTCATTCGGTTATTATTAAACATTGTAAAAGGGAAATGTGTCCTTGTAAAGTGTGTAGCTACTTGGAACAGTCACAGTGTACTTAGTCATCTTGGGAATAAAGCACTACAAATTCATTTCCAGCCATTTCCCACATGCAGCAATTTTGCATAATAACGGTAATCATGTGTCTATTGCCTGAAGTCTTGCCTGATAACAGCCATATAATGTATTTCTGGTTTAATTTATTTCTGCATGTTTTTTCTGTTTATAACATGTCAAGAAACGCATGTAAAATTACCAACGCCTTCAATTATTTTCCTATAGGCGGTTTCATGATAATGCCTAATGGCAATATCCACAGAAATCATGCTAAAAAATCAGGACTCGCTTTTAAGGATTTTCATTAGACAATTGAAAACTGATTTAGTTATGAATCATTTAGACTACATGCATGATTTATGTACTTGTTAGATAGCCTCAACCATTGTCCATTGGTCTAAACGGTCGAAAAGTGCCGAAAACTGCGCTTCTGCATGTGACCCTCGAATTTTAAAGTATTTACTGATACGGTGCATGATACCGTACTGAAATATAGGCATCAGTCACATTTGCATAAGCAGTCTATTTTGTAGCTCGAGATATAAAGTTGTTGATCAAGTTACGGTCAAAATTAAATAAGCCTTTTCTTAGTCAATAGACAATGAGTATTTGTGCTCAAACTTGTCTCATGCGTTCCACACTTCAAAGTGATTGTTGCCCCGCTTGGAATGGAGATACAGTATGTCCTTGTAAAAATCCTTATTCAGTAGTCATGCAGTATTAACACATTTGCGGATTTGCCAAATTTGAACTTGGTTGCCTTCGCCTCAGCGTGTTGTCATTTTCCTATGGCTATGTTGTAAACACTGAAACACATTATCATTGTATATCAGACAAACATGATGGAATTGATCGAATTTCAAAATATAAACTAAATAGACGGTCTTTAGCATGTACAAGTGACACAACGTGTCATATCCATTCAAGTCCCAGAAACATTTCGTCGTATAAATTGAGCATTATTCAATATATTAAATATTTTCAATATATATAATATAAGTAATATATAAAAAAAGATTATTAACGTATTGTTCAAATTGTTTAGCATCCACGTTTTATCGTTATCGGAACTGAAATATATGGCTTATTTAATGTCATTACTCATTAGTGAATGCGCGCATATGAAACTGTTTTTTACTTGCATTATTTCAATATTACTATTAGAGTTGTAAATCTCTGAATGGTAAAACTTGCCAACCCTCCAATAACACGTTTCAAAAAAGACAAAAAAGCTTTTAGTTTTCAGCAGAGTTACATTCTCAAACATGTAAGGCACTAATAAGATCAAAGTATCATGAAATTATTTGAATAAGCCACATCGCATATATGCAAGCTAGGGGTGCGAATTTCCTAAGAGGGGCGATATTCATAGGATATTCTCCCCCCGGGGGCGAATCTCCTGGGGGGGGGGAAGCAAAATTCCTGTGACACAGGTCTGAAGTCAGTCGGCTCGGTCCAGCAGGCGGAATGACTTGAGACTGTTTCATGTAAACGTCCCGGTTTCATGTAAACATCTATTATAAATTATACTGCATGTGACCGAAACGAAATGGTCCCGGTTTCACTTCGTTCCGGTCTCATGTGAACGGAGCCTTATACAACGCGCCTTGACTGCAGTGTGCCTATTTTTAGTTATTTGCGCCTGGGTACGTACGAGGCTGGCCCTTCCAAGATAAAGGACGCCATCTTGAATATATTGTTTTCACCATTATGTTTGCGCCCCTTGCAAATTTACCTATAAGGGAATTCCATTGTGTTTAATTGCACCCCTTGCACTTTTGCGTTTCATTATGGCTTCGTTAACCTTGGAAGCGTCTATTTTGGCAAGAAAGAATGACAAAATAATCTCATTTTTCCCTATATCTCATTTAATGACATAGGTCTGGAATTCAAGTATGAGTGAAACCATAAAGGCTTTAGGTAGGTTCAAATACTTCAAAGTCCAAAAAGTCATTTATAATTTCATCAATTGCAAGCTGTGAATTAAATTTGGGCTATTGAGATACATTATTATTGAAGTAATTGCTCATATTAAACTTAATAGTATTTTGTGATCTGATATTTTTTCTTCATATTAAACTTAATAGTGATGTTATCATTAGATGTTGACATAGTAACCAGGATTTTAACAGCTTCGAAAAATTCAACTATAGGTTTCTGGTAGGAATCAAACCTGCGGCCCTGCAATTCCGGTGCAGCACTCTAACCAACTGAGCTATTCAACTATTCCTTCAAGTACTGTTTAATAAACGAGCAAGAGTGTTTTATTAGGTTTAAAGCCACGAGCGCGCAGCGCGAGTGGCTTTAGACCTAATAAAACACGACCTGTGAGTTTATTACTCATCGCCACTTGTTTTGTGTTGCCAATCTCAATGATTGTTATTGGTAAGTAGTTAGTTTTATTCATGAGTTCCAATTCCAACATCCATGAATTCACCAACATCCATGCCGGAGACCGTGCTCCAAGTCCTGTTGTGGTTATGCATGTTTCACTATATTCCTGTTTCGTTGCAATCTGCGGGGCGACACAGAGAGAGACCATTGAACTATAAATAAACTGGAAGGTTACCTCAGGGGGGGGGATTGAAGCCAGTGGATTTTAGTTTTTTCTGAGTTATGAGCAGAAACACTCAACACTGAACGTTGTGCTGTATATGAAACTGAAGCTATTGAAAAACGCTATTAATTTGGTGTAGAAATTTCAAGACCCTAGCTAGAAGGGTAATATTGGAATACTACAAAAATAATTGCCGATAATTTGCCATTTTGCAGGTGTTTTTGTATTTTTTAAATATTTTTCTTTTCGCTGAAGTCTTGAAATTTCCACACCGAATAGCAATTTTCAATAGCTTCAATTTGATATATAGCTCAATGTTTGGGATCAAGTATTTCTGCTCATAACTCAGAAAAACTATTTTGGCTTCATCAAATCATAGGCCTTCATCATAGCAGTTATAGCCTTCCAGTTTATTTATAGTTCAATAAGAGAAACACCGTCCTCCTCGCGCTATACGTCATGTTATTCCCGCAATAGTGAATCAGAGAAATACTTAATAATGTGTTTTATCGTTAAAAAGGCGCCAAGTACAAAGATGATTGTCCTGTTGAACATAAGATTCCAATCTGGTTAATTGTATCGGGTGTTGTGGCCTTGTTCCAAGGGTTATTTGCTCCAGCATTTCGTAATGACGGGAAATCAGAACGAACTTCTGGTCGTGGAATTTTTCAGGCAGTTGGTCTAATTATCAATATTTTTCAAATGGTTTGGCTCATTATTGGAAGTGTCTGGGTTTATGGCAACTACGAACCAAGTTATAATGAAGCTGATGGTGACATGTTTTGTAATGAAACAGTGTATCTGTTTAGTTTCTGGATCTTAAATGTTACCTATATTGGCTTGTGCATCGCTTTATTCGTCTCCATTGGAGTTTCCCTGTATAATAGAGGCCTAAGTGGAAATAGTTCATACTGACATGCCGTTTACAGCGTGTGTAGAACTTGTAGAAAATTATTATTTGTGTCCTACATTAGCTAGTGTATAACTTTTTCACTTTATTCATCTCCATTGGATGTTCTCCCTGATGAAGATCTGCATGAGCGAAGTTAATTATAACTTGCAATTTCTGCATACAGTCATCAATTTTTATCGGGGTCGGTTTTTCAAGGGCGTACGCGTTAACCCTCGGTTAAAATTTAATCTGCTGTTTTAGTTTACGTATTTCTGCACATCTGATTATTTCAAAACTTCAAAGAAGAAAACTCTTATTGATCCAGACAAGATTTCTAAATAAATATTTCCAAATTTATAAACAACGACTTTTGGGATGTTGAATTTTATGTTAACCTAGGATTAAGTTTGGGTTTGATCAACCGGCCCCGGTTACCCTGCGAGCAGAGCCTTATTTTCGTTTCTTCGGCGAGGGGGAAAGGAGAAAATAAGGCTCTGCAGTATTCGTGTTTTGCTTCCATTGCGCATGCTCTGTCGGTTGCCTAGTTACAGCTATATGAAATTTTAGATCTGTCTTCGCAGACGTCCGCCTTTATTACTAGCGAATCAAAATTCACCATCGTTTGATCCGCTTATCCGTTCAAGACTTCAAGCTCGCGCGAAATTGTAGAATGATATTAAACGTAAGGTATTTTGAAGATGTTATCAAATTTCAAACAAAACTCTCTTTAGTTTTCGTGTGTAAATGCCAAAACTTGATTCATTTGCAACAAACTCGTACAAGTATAGTTCGATTTCGGCCATTTCGTTTTGTTGGCTATGTCGCTGGCTCGCATTTAGTCATCGGCTCACCGTCAAACTGTAGCCGCGCGCATTAAATACCGGATAAACTGGTTAAACAGGTCTGCTTCGTCCAGAATCTTGGACGAAGCAAAACACGAATACTGCAGAGCCTTATTTTCTCCTTTCCCCCTCGCCGAAGAAACGAAAATAAGGCTCTGCTCGCAGGGTAGGCCCCGGTCTGAAGATGAGTCAAACCTAGATCAAAATACACAGTCAAAATTATTATAGACAATATAGTTATGCACTGTTTAATTTCGCATTATAAACTTCAATTTGATATTTGTACAAACTATCAGTTGGCATGAGGGAATATAGAGATAATTCATTCCAACTTGTTTACAACTTTTGATTTTTTTCTGTTACAACTTATTTTTGAAAAAGTGTATTGTTTGGTTTCCGGTTGTTACGTCTACATTTGTTTGTGTGTTTGTCCATTTCTATTGGACTGTTTTAGAGTTTCTCCATAATAGATTTATAATTTGTTTGAGGAAAATACGTGATAATAATCCGGCCGCATGTAAACATATTGTCACAGAGAGAGAGCTCTCACTTTACCAAAATAGCTGGCGGTCATGTTTTTAGCAAATTAAATGCCCCAAAGATAGAGCATTCACCCCCTGGAACATTAAATAACAAGATGTTTTCAGGGGGTGGCGGCCTCCCTTTAGAGCACTTGCTAAGAACATGACGGACTGAAAAAATCCCTTACGGTAAATTAACCTGAAGTGAGACCTCTGTATGTACTTCCTCTGTGATTTGGCACCGCATCGTAATTGGTCTCTCCTGTGGTTGTGCTTCAGGGGTTTTTCTCCGGGTACTCCGATATTCCTCCCTCTCAAAAATCAGCAACTCAGGCTTATATATGATGCAAGAAAAATTGATGTAACTGTGTAGGAGGAAATTATTAATGAACAATTATTGAATGAGGTTGAGCGTGATTCGAAGAATTATTAGGCCCGAAGTTTGTGTTATTTGTGTTATCAGTGAAAGAGACCTCCCACCGGGCACACGACGTTGTTTCAACGTTGAAATTTGGTAGAAAAAAGGTTGCGACGTCGACAACCTAATATCTACGTTGCTCTGACGTTGTTTTACAAACATTGGTTCAACAGCAGCCAACAGACGTTGAATTAACGTTCATTCATGGTTAAATATACGACGTCGATTTGTGAACCAATCTCAACGTTGTTTTAACGTGGATTCAACGTTGAATTATGGTTGACGAGATTGGCAACCTAATTTCAACGTTGTTTCAACGTCGAAACAGTAACGGCGAAACAGTAACGTCGATCCAATTTGCATAGTCAACCCTTTTTCAACGTCTATCCAACGTCTGGAAGGTCATTTCCAACGTTGATTCAACGTTGGATAAACGTCATTTTGCCCGCTGGGCTGTGGTTCCAATTCGTCGGAATAATCATCAGTACTTCGTCACTACTTCCCATTTGCAGAAAATCTTTCCTTTTTCTTTCATAAGTACGTACGGTAAGATGTTTCAAAACTTTGTCCCTGGCTGTTTTTGTTGATATTTCTTCTCACGTTGCTCGAATGTACTATAAATGTACCACGTTTTCTCCCAGCGGGCCCATAGTGTCAGTCGACATCATACCCAAAATTGGACGCTCTGTGTAACACGTGAAACCACAAAGCTTTCAATTTTTTACCAAAAGTTAGCTGTAAAATGAGCTTGCTTCACTGGGAGAAAATTTGCTAAGCGTTGCCAGCGTGTCTTCATATTTTAAAATTTGCTTCCCTTAATAAAATTAAATGAAGGTTTCGCTTCTGTAGTCTGTTGTGATTTGCTGTAATTTGTTTTGTTTTAAAACTTAGGGGTATTTTTCATATGATAGTTTTGCCAAACTCAGTATAGGCACAACTACTGGCAACTAATGCTGAAGGTTAGAGGGGCTGTGTGTGGGCATAGACAATCCAGAAGACAGGGACTGGAAACGCCTAATGTTTTGCGCGTGCCATCCGTGATGTGCTTGCGTGACGCTTGTGCCAATCATGCCATGTGAGTGAATTACTGAATGGCGCTTGTTGCTTCGAAAAAGAATAAAGCGATAGATTGTGGACCGGTACTTGTCTGCTGTTTTACAGCTCTTTATATACTGGAAAATTGTTTAAATAATCTACACCGAAAAGGGAGTTAGGTATATCACATTGTGTGTAAAGTTTATAAAACGGATCTGCTAATATACGAGTTTTCGAGCTTGTTCAAAATTTTGATTTCCAATTTGGGGTGGACTTTCAGGCACGATTCAGGTTTGTTTGCGTATTTTAGTTCACTTTAATTAAGTTTACGTATATTTATTCAATTTTGCTTCACTGTAATTACGTTATATAAATTGATTGAAGTTATCTTTTCGAAGTTTTCCTTGATCTACATTTTAAAATTTGAATTTGGCAATTTCGGTTTTTAAATTAATATACCCTCGAATATACCTTCCATTTTTAATATTGACAACAAATCCTTTCTTTCTCGAAAACCCTTTTTGCTAAGGCATCCATTATTTAAAAGAAATAAAAACAAGGTTTCAGTTATTTTAACGGTGAGTTATGTATGTTTAACACTCTTAACTTTCGACAATGCCAACAAGAATGCCAATGGCAATGACGACTTTTTTGCTGTCAAAAACATTACGCAATCATTAAAAGGTGGTTTTTGCCTTTGTTTGACCCAATATAAGTTTAAAAACCGGAGAAATGCATCCACATGTCTATATTTGTTTTAAATATGTAAATTGCAAACCCTGAACTTTATTTAAACTGTAGTTGCAGGGTTCGAAGTTAGCCGGTACAAACTTTGCCGGACAACAACAAATGGCAATGGCGACTTTTTTACAGTGAAAAACATTACGGAAGCATTCAAAGGACGTTTTTGGCTTTGTTTGACCCGATATAAGTTTCAAAACGGGACAAGTGCATCCACAGGTCTATTTTTGTTCAAAATATGTGAATTACAAACTCTGAACTTTATTTAATTAAACTATAGTTACAGGGTTCGAAGTGGGGGCAACAGAAATGGCCATCTTCTATAGTTGGCGCAAAAGTAATTTTGGCCGTCAAATTTTCAGTAAACATTTTTGGGCGAATAAGTTACCAAATTGATATAAAAAATAGCCTATTCGATAGATTACAATCTTGTGATTACACATACTTTGACCAAAAGGTACAAAAATAGTTTATTTTTCAGTTGCAGGGTTAGTTTTGCCAGCAAGTTTTCAGAATAATATGACAATAACAATTGCCGGCTAATGACATTCGTAATTCTATCAATCAAATTCAGTAAACATTTTTGGGCGAATAAGTTACCAAATTGATATAAAAAATAGCCTATTCGATAGATTACAATCTTATGATTACACATACTTTGACCACAAAATACAAAAATCGTTTATTTTTCAGTTGCAGGGTTAGTTTTGCCAGCGAGTTTTCAGAATAATATGACGATAACAATTGCCGGCGAACAACATTCGTAATTCTGTCAATCAAATTCAGTAAACATTTTTGGCTGAATATGATACCAAATTGATATAAAAAAGTAGCCTATTCGATAGATTACAATCTTGTGATTTCAAATGGCTTCATCGTCAAAGACAAAACAGGTTAAGTTTGTAGTTACAGGGTTAGTTTTGGCAGTATTTTCTGGAAATAATTGCTGCGTACGCGATTTACCGATAGCACGATCCAAATTTACATTTAGCGTCACTATAAAATAGAAATAAATGAAAATTTGGACGTATCTACCTTTGTTAGTATAGCCGCTCCACGACTACGATCCCAAAATTCAGATAATATGCTTTTTTTACGATATACTTTGCATAAACTACACGCAATTGCCTTTGTTTTTATGTAAATTTAAAGACTTGTTACCGTGGTAACCAAGTAATTGCTACGTGACAGGCACATCACGGATGTCACGATTTGTCATCATATTCTAGCTTGCGTTTCCAGTCCCTGTCTTCTGGATTGTCTATGGTGTGGGTCAGGGAACCGATCAATTGTGATTTCTTGTTTCTTTAACACTGAAACACCGTCACAGACAGTGCACCCGACAAGATCGAACGTGGTCACGTTCCGTAGTTACGAACCTAGTTACGTAGTCACGTAGAACGTAGCCACGCAGTCAGGTAGCCACGCAGTCACGTAGCCAGGTAGCCACGTAGTCAGGTGGCCACGCAGTCAGGTGGCCACGCAGTCAGGTGGCCACGCAGTCAAGTGCCACGCAGTCAGGTAGCCACGCAGGCAGGTGGCCACGCAGTCAGGTAGCCACGTAGTCAAGTGGCCAACGTAGTCAGGTAGCCACGCAGTCAAGTGGTTACGTAGTCAGGCAGCCACGCAGGCAGGTAGCCACATAATCAGGTGGCCACGCAGGCAGGTGGCAACGCAGTCAGATGGCCACGCAGTCATGTAGCCACGCAGTCATGTAGCCACGCAGGCAGGTGGCCACGCAGTCATGTAGCCACGCAGTCAGATGGCCACGCAGTCAGGTAGCCATGCAGTCATGTAGCCATGCAGTCAGATGGCCACGCAGTCAGGTGGCCACGTAGTTAGGTGGCCACGCAATCAGGTGGCCACGCAGTCATGTAGCCACGCAGTCAGGTGGTCACGTAGTCAGGTATTGGTCCCTTGCTTGCACTCGGGGTGGAAGAAAATCATCATACCTCTGCTGGTGTGACAAATCGTGGTGATTTAGTATGTAACACAACTTTTTGTTTTTCTGATATAAGTGTTCATCAAGTTCTAAACAACTTAAAACAACTATAGTAACATCCAAAGCTACTGGCGTAGACAAAATTCCAGCTAAAGTTCTTAAATTATCTGCAGATATAATTGCACCATCTCTGACAATAATCTTTAACCAATCACTACATACTGGCATATTTGTCAATGACTGGAAATTAGCACGTGTGCAACCGATTTATAAATCTGAGGATCGAAGCAAATGTAAGAATTACCGTCCAATTTCTATTCTCCCAGTTGTAAGTAAAATCTTTGAAAAAGAAATTTTTCAGCAATTATATAGTTATTTATCTGCAAACTCACTAATTTCAAAGTTTCAATCTGGATTTCGACCTAAACATTCATCTCTAACCTTACTTCTCCAGATGTGCGATGAATGGCTAAAAAATATGGATGAGGGTAAAATAACTGGTCTTGTTTCTCTGGATATCAAGAAAGCATTTGATTCAATTAACCATCAAATTTTAATGTCAAAAATGAAAGACCAGTTTGGTATTCGTGAAAATGAATTGAATTGGTTTACCTCTTACTTGACTGATCATCAGCAAGTTTGCTGTGTAAATGACCATATATCCTCTTGGAAACCCATAGAAAGTGGTGTGCCGCAGGGGTCCATTCTTGGTCCTTTGATGTTATTATTATATATTAATGATTTGCCGCAATATTTAAAATTTACAACTCCGGGTTTATATGCTGATGATACGCAGATATTTGCCTCGTCTGATAATTATGATGAACTGGTGGAACTATTAAACTCTGATTTAAAAAATATTAGTATAGATGGCTCTCGGATAACAAACTGCAAACCATACTAGTAAAAGTAAGCTAATGTTCATAGGCTCCCGGTACAATATCAAAAATAAAATTGGAGATAAATTAGTGACCTTTAAGATAGGAGTTTTAAAACGAACAAAGCCATTCGTCCCCAATGAATCCCTGCACATCATCTATAAGGCGTTAATTCTGCCATACTTTGATTATTGCTCCCCTTTGTGGGATAATTGTGGAATTGTACTAAAAGAAAAACTACAGAGATTCCAAAATAGAGCTGCAAGGGTGTTGACGGGAGTAAGTTATGATACCAACTCCTCTGAGCTCCTTGAACGGCTTAACTGGAAAAATCTTGAAAACAGATTTAGATTTAATAAAGTGGTTCTGGTATACCACATTCTTAATAATGGTACTGCCCCCTGTCTTTGAGAATTCTTTTCTGCACGAAGCAATAATGATAATGACTATTATCTCAGAAATTATGATACAGATCTCTCACTTCCAAAACCTAAGAACGAATTTCTTAAAAGAAGCTTTAGGTATAGTGGAGCTGTACTGTGGAATATAGCCTTTCTGCTGAGGCTAAGTCTGCTCATTCGATTTATTGTTTCAAAAGACTTATTTGAATCTTGTTTTTAATTGTTATTCCATTTGTAACTACACATTATGTTCTGGGTAATATTCTTTTTGGGTCCGTGTGGGTTAATTAGTTTTTTCTTCATTTTTATATACTTGTAAATAGCTAAATAGACGCCCCTCATGAAAACCAGCCGTATAGCTGATGAGGATAGCGTCTCTAAACTAATTAAATACATACACATACATACATACA